TTTAATGGTATCCTTAATTGTTTCGAGTTAAGTTCGGCGTTGATTTTATTCAATCATGCCTCTAATTAATTATGCCATGCAATTTTTGTAATTTTTTTTCTTTTTCCTTTTTTTTTTTTTGTAAATAACGAAATTAAATAAATAAAAATAAAAAACCAATAAAAGAAGATAAAAAAAAATTAAAAGGGATAAAATTGGAGTAACATATATAATTCAAAATTTGGGTTATGAAAAGATGAAAAATGTAACCTCACTTCTAATCGAATTTTGGAGCATAAGAACCAATCATAGCATTAATGTTAATAAAATGATCAAAGAGAAAACTTTGATTCACATGTGATGAATTTGTTCTTTTGACTCGTTCTCAAGACAGACATCGATCTTATATAGTTTAACTAATTCAAACCTATTCATGATAATTATAATTTTCCTGTCCCCTTCGAGAAGGCTAGTTGTCAAGTACGTATAGCTAGCTGGTGACTATGTTCATATATATACACACACTAATTAGAGTTAGGAACAAAATAATATGCAATTAATTAAGTATACTAATGCTTAAATAATTCTTAAAGAAATGGTAAAAATACCTTAATGTCACAAATAAGCTTATCGACAAGTGGGAACTAGGTGGTGTTAAAAATTAAAAAATTGGAGATAATTCTGACGAAGAAGCACAATCTTACGAAAGTTAGGTCAAAAGGCAAACAATTTGGCCAGAGGCAACGTGTAGCCCACGTCAATTGCGTGCGACGAACTAAAATTTTTCAGCATTCAGAGTTGGAAAGTAAATAATGAATAATTTTTTTTCATTGATGATGCATGATTCTCTCCATTATCCTTGTTTTTTTGTTGAATTAAATTAATTAATCTGTTTTATTATCATGTAACTTGATTAGGCTTTATCTGGTGGTCCACGTTACCTTAATCTTGGGTTTTGGGATTCCTTTTCAAAATATTATTGTTAATTGTGTTGTTGGACTTTCAAACATGTAGCTAGTGAAGCGTTGGTTAAGCAACAATTTAGAAAGTGAACAACTAGTGCAACGAAAGGAGGAGCTATTGGAGAGGTTATTTTAATCAAAAGAGATTTGATTAATTATTAACCCTAGGTGGGCTCCCAGAGAGCACTGCTGCTTTGTTAATATATATATATATATATATATATATATATATATATATATATATATATATAATGATGTTGTGTGTAAAAAGGTAAAATATTAATTATTTGAAGTTCATTAACAATGGCATGTGAATCCATGTGAAGATGGTCCTCTGTGTTTCTATACTCTTATATCCATTTGATTGTCAAGAAACATCCTTTTTAGAAACACTTTACTGATATTGGCCAGAAAGTTGTGCTCGTCCCCTTTTTAAAGCCTAAATATATGATAGTTTTCCAAGTAGGTGTTTTATAATTACCCTATATTATTATCTTCCTTAACCAGCTAACATCAAGGACATTGCATGATTCATATATATATATATATATATATATATTGTTTGTGTTGGGGGGTTCATTGTTGTGTTATGAGGTAAAGACAATGTTTGGTTAATGCTTGTTTTATTTGGTGTCATTCTAAAAATAAGCTATTTTGCTTTTGAAACAAAGTAGAATATCTCTTTTTCCAACCAAAAGCGAAGCTGGTTATTGTAGATTCCTTTTTTTTTTTTTTCTAATGAAAATAATAATTTTTTCGATTTATACTTTTAAAAAATTACAAACACAGTAGAGTATGTTTGATATTTTTGTATTGTGATTGTTGTGCTATTTGTGTTGTAGGGTTTCATATTGAGTTGTGATATATGAATTTTAATATGATTGAAGGATAAAGAAGAGTGTTTGGCTAACACCTACTTTGCTTGGTGTCAGTTATGTATATTTTGCTTTTGAAACAAAGCAGGTTACCTCTGCTTCTAACCATAAGAACAAAGGTTTATTGTAGGTTTTTTTGTTCTAATTAAAATAACAATTTTCTCCATTAATTCTTTTTAAAAAATTACATGCATACCAAAAGATATTGGTGTTTTTGGCAACTCAATTTCAAAACCTCTTTTCTATATTATTGATTATATTGATTTTTTTATTATTAAAATGATGTGTGTGCATTATCACTCTATTTAATTGTTTAGTTTTTCGAACTTATAATACATACATATATGCAGAATATGTATTGAGAAATTGTAAATCATTTAACATATGCTTGTTAAAATATTATTTAGCATGTTATGGTTTTTATTGGTAATTTTATATTTGAAAATCACAATAATATATAAAATTTAACCAGACATTATTAGTTGCTTTAAATATTTATAAGTATTACCATAGACTACTTTAATTTTAACTCTATAACACAATATTGAAAAATATAACACAACAGAACAACTATATATATATATATATATATATAGAGAGAGAGAGAGAGAGAGAGAGAGAGAGAGAGAGAGAGAGTACAACAATACCAAAGTCCAAACAAATCCATAATCATGCATGCTGATTTAATCAGCTTCTTTAAAATACCATTATGAAAAACGTGTGATTAATTCAGGTATGAATTAATCTAAAATGGCATCACTTATCTGCACAATTCTTAATATATATAAATATTTAATTTGTTTAGGGTTTGTTGACTGTGAACTATCTTTTATTTATTTTATATTGTAAGTGAAATTTTCTTGCTTCGGTCTTTATCTATCTATGGATTCATCAATTAGTTTGTCAAATTTGGAGCTAAATCCAATTAACATATATATATGTATGTATATAGACATGATCGATCAAATGTAAAGTCTTGGAGACTATAACTTCATTTTGATTTGCTTGTTTTCAAGGATTCCAACTTCAACTTGCAATTTAAAATTGCAAATGGAAGCATTGGTCTTGTAGTTGCCACCTCCACCAAAACCATCACCATCACCATTGCAAATTAATGTTAATTCTCCGTTTACATTTTGGCATTTGCCTTCTTCTTGGTGCATAACACGTGCCAAGAAATATTTAGTAAAATAGCATTATTCATCCACCTATAAATATTTATATAATATCTATCTATTCGTGGCTTTTTTTCTTTTTTTGAAATCCTTACATTATTGGATCCTAAAAACTGGCTTATCAGTTTCTTTAGCTGATCAACGTTGTTGGTCCGTTTATAAAGTTTTATATAATAATTTTTTTGACAAATTTATTATTCTTTAGTGTTGGTTATAAAATCTTGTTAAACATATGTTACAGAAGGCCTTAAATTCATATTTTAAGGAAACATGGTACTTTCTCGTACTCAACTTAATTAATTGAATCATATTTTCTTTGAGTTTAAATCTCTAGACATGCTCCACAATTTCAGTTTCTTATTATGCTGAGAATATTATATTTTTAATAAAACAAGAAGGCTTTTTATATCTGTCCAATGGGAAAAAAGAAGTATGATGAATTTAAATGTTTGATTAATGGCCTCAGGTAAATTAACAGCTTCATTTAATCACACATATGGTATTAAGTTAAATATTTAAAATTAAGTTTCATCTAAAAAATTTAAAATTCTTTTAATTCGAAATTAAGTTTATTTTAAAACCTTCGCTTCGTCCCTTAGTTTTTTTTTATATATAACGGATGATTTATTTTACAACCTTTATATTACTTCATATTTTATATCTATTCGATATGGAATGAGTTATTTACTAAGTGGTAACTTAAGTTTTTTTTTTTCATTTTTAAGGGATTTAATATACAACAATGACATTTCTGATGTCCTTTGATGATTAAATTAACTTGGGCATTAGAAAAGGTTTTTCTCTAATGAAATTTTGTCAATTATAAAACCAATTAGGACTTTGAGTTTTCTAACAAAAAACTGGTTATCGAAAAAGGCGGTCAGTGTTATTATAGTGGACGATGGTTTGTCCTTGTTACAGAGCAATTATAAAATAAATTGAGTGTTTGGTTTGGTGTTTGGTTGTATTGTACGATGACAAACAATAATTGAGTATCCTTACCACACAACATGTAATTGGGTGCCGATGAGCAAACCGTTCTTTTGATGGACAATAATATTTATCTTGCCAAGTATCATGCTATTTATACATTATAGTCCTGTACTATATATAAAAAAAATACAATATATTGTAACTAGTACATGATTGTATATTGACAATGTATACATAGAGATTGTCCTCACATTGAGACAATCACATTTCCAAATTCTATCTTAAACTTACAAGTATAATAGACATTGAGACGATCACAGTTTCAAATTCTATCTTTAACTTACAAGTATAATAGACTTGAATGAAAGAAGAGCAATTATTTTTGTTTTCGTCAGCTAAGATTTCAGAATATAAACATCTTTTATATTCCACATCAATTATGTAGTAGTTTAGGGTTTAATATCATTTTACTTATCAATTATGTGTGTGTGACCAATATATTGTTGGCAATATAATAAATAATTCGTGACACATCTCATAGGAGTGCCGATAGCTATAATTTTTGTCGCAATGAATTAATATCACATAAAATGCATTATATATATGCTGAAGGAAATTTTCAATATATGTGCTGATCATATATATATGTAGTTAAAATAATAATAATATATATATGTAGTCCTATAATATTTAAGAACGAATTGAGTTGAATCTCCTTGTCCACAGTAAAATTAATCACTATGCAAATTTGGCCATTGAGAAAGAATTTAGATTTGTCAGAATCAGACCCTAGAAACTCAAAGAAAGTAGTTAAATTAATTTTGAAAAACCATGGAAACTCAATAAAAAGAGAAGGAGAAGATGATAGTACTCCAAAGTGAAGTAGAAAATAAAGCAAATTCATAGTAGGAAATATACAAGATAATTTAGACCATCATGAATATCTATATATTATTCATCTCTAACTTACTCTGCTATCTCTGAACATTTACCATTATAAACTCTAAATCAATCTCTTTCTTGTTCCAACCTCTTTGTCAGTCATTCCTTTTTATCTCCATTGTAGCAATTCCTAGCTAATAGGGCGGTCTGCCATGAGGCCACCCATATCCTTCATGGTTCAGTTGTCCTCCATTAGGCACCAAATTTGGTTGCAAATTATAAACAGGCATTGATGAAGCCGGATCCCCCATTCCTCCACCGTTACCCTCGCCGCCACTGTTGCCTCCACCAAGCTGCCCTTGTGCGCCACCACTGCCCTCCTCCTCGTCTTCTAGCGGCAATCTCTCATAAGTAGCATTTGAAAATGTTGCAGCAATAACCATTACCGGCCCTGATGCAACAAGTGATCCTACCACACTGCCCCCCACAACTTGTCCTTGCCCTCCGGCTAAATATATAGTTAGTCCCGTCGCCCCAGGTGGGGCCGGTCCGGGCAAGAACGCTCCAGTGAGTGACAAAATCTCAAACCTACCATGGAGAGCCATGATAGCACCTGAGGCAGAAGGTTGCTTGAGGGTTACATTGGTTACCATACCACTTCCACTAAGCACACAAACCCCTCTTTGCCTCTTTCTTGCAAAACAAGCTAAACTTTCGGCTATATCAGATCCATTAGCTATCTCCATCACATGACTCTTGAGTGCATTAGGGCTATCACGAGTAACAAAAATTGGTGGTTTAGGCTTGTTCTTGGACCCTGGTGGACGGCCTCTAGGGCGGCGAGATGCGACATCTATAGCGCCTTCTCTAGGCTCGTCGCTATTCTCTCTTTCTTCTTCTTGCTCTTCTTCTTTGCCCATGCCACTCTCGGTCGCTTCTCTATTGATGTTGGACATGGATATACCTAGATCTGGCTTTTTCATTGGAGATGCTGAACTGGTTGATGTGTCCATCCCCGGCAATCCCACTTGCCCCGCCCACCACCGGTTCGCCATGGCCGTCAAAGGAACGCAAACAAGATTATCAAATATCACTCACAAGACAAGATTGATTGATAGATTGTTTTACTCGGACACTAAATAGGAGACATCTAGATACCGTATAAAAAATGAATATGTATCAAAGAAGGAAGCAACAAATTTTGATGATCTAAGTTAAAACAAGAAAGAGGAAAGGAGGCAAGGATTTTCCTTACAAAAGAAAGAACTAAAGTAAAGTAGCTAGCTATAGTAATTAAGCATCTATGAATGAAACTCAAGACTGATCAAAACTCCAAGCCTAGTTGGGAGTATTAAAAAAAAAACAACTGTAAAGACTTGATTTAGGATATGAACAAGAAGAAAGATCAAGATAAATAAGTAGAGTTTCTTTCTCTAGCTAAATAAGCAGCTATAGTAAAGTAGGTTTTTTGGATGCTAGTGTGTGTTTGCTTTGATTTGGGGTGTGTCAAGTTCTTGGGGAGCTCTGGGTTCTTGTATTTTTCTCTCTAGCTAGCTAAAATGTGGGTTTGTGCTTATCTTTTATCCTCTAATAAAATTTTTCTAACATACTAACATGGCAATATTTTATTTAGAAATAAGAAGATGGTGGTGTTCTTGGAAACTAGGGTTTTGAGTGTAGGGTCGCGTGCGCTTGCGAAGGTGGGTTGCACGTCCTTCTCTTTGGTCCCAATATGTGCGGTGGAGGAGAGAGATGCTCTCTACATTATAGTAGTAAATGAGCACAACTTTGGTGAAATATTGTATAATTTCTTCTTTGAATGTACGTATGTAGGTAATTTGTGTCTTTTCTTAATTAATTTTTAAAATAATATCATTGGGCTCCATGAGATTAACTCTTAATTACTTGGTTTTGTTTCTTTCTTTGCTCAGAACGATACAGAATATTCTCTTAACAACTAGATAAACTATATAAGAATAATATAACTATCCATTGTTCTTTAAATCATTTGATTTAGTTTTAACAAAGAAGATGCCATAAAAGCTATATTCATTTATTTGATTCTTTCAAACAAAAATGATTACGGACAATGCAGGTTAATATAGAGAAATTGAACTTAATTGTCTACTACATTGATGCTGCATGGTTGACATATTGATTGAAAAATTATGGAAGCATTTCATCTCAGGAAAAAAAAAACAAAGAAGAAGAAGAAGAAGAAGAAGAAAAGGAAACCATTAATTTGAATATTTACCAATTTTTGCAATTAACAGGTATTTCATTCATATACAATTACATGCATACTACTAATTATCATTTAACAATGCTATATGTTAATTTAATCCTCTCAAAAGAAAAACAAAACAATATAATGATTTGTTTAATATTACAGCTTATTTCGTTGCACGTATATGAAGAAGAATAAATGAACTGTACTATATATATAAATTTAAAGAATGAAAAATTCTTAAAGAATGAAAAAGAAGAAGAAGAAGAAGAAGCTAATCGAGTAAAAGTAATGTAGAGGGAAAGGAGTAAAATTAGTTATTATATCCAGTCAACCACATTCTTTGCATGCTCATTAATTTCATTCATTGTTTGCATGATCCTAATTTAGCATTCAAGTTTTTCACTTCATCCTTTCATGCCCAACACACACACACACATACACTTTCAGATCTCTGAAATTTCTCTTCCAATCATTAATTATTAGCATCCTCCATACAATGGGGATTGGGGAAGGCAGTAATTCAATTACATTTATTTACAGTCTTTAAGATTATTAGTTGGCGAGTGTACGTGTAGAAACCAAATTAAAGCTTTGTCTCTGAGCTAATTATGACTACTCGTGGCTTCTATTTTCTTACAGTCCCTTTTGCGGTATGGGAATAAGTTATTATAAATCAAAGACAATTGATCAATGGAGTCTGGATCTCCCTTAAAATAATGCTGAACGTTTGCATCACTCACCGACACCTACAAGCTACCTAGCCGGTTTTGCAGGCCATTAGTAATTGATCACTTTCTCTAGGAACTTATTCTTATTTTTATTTTTTTGTTTTTTTATCCTCGTCTTATATTAGAGATATAATTAAAATATGACTAATATGTATAATTTTATTCAGAACGAAAGAGATAAAGTTTAATTTTTTTCAATAAATACGATTTTAGAATTCAATTCTGTAAATTGACAAAAAAAACTCGTTTAGAGATTATTTCATTTTTTACTTAAAACAAAACTTGATTGTTTTGTTAAAAATTTTTATAATATTCAAGGAGTAACTACTGTACAGTAGTTACTCCTTAAGTATTATGAAATTTTTCAGTTTCATATTAGAACTTTAAATAATAAGGATATGGCTAATAAGTTCTAGAGTAATCCAATTGGTATTTAATATCTATGTCCAATCTCTTTTAGGAAGTTTTAGGTTCAAGATAGAGTTATTTCCCGACATCAAAATACTTTGAATTCTTATTTACTAAATTAAGGTATTTTTAATTTTATTTATTAAACCAAGGCACTTCTTGTAAAGTTAGATCTCAATATTCATGTCCTTTTATTCATGAACATTTTTTAGAGTTTGTAATCAATTATAAATAAATATAATTGTACCAAATAATAATAAGAAAAATCAAAAAATCAAAATTAATAGTTATATCATCTTCCTCGTCATCCTCTGTTAGCGATCCAAATTCATGAAACTATCTCTCTAGCCTAACAGATGCAATGCATTATTTCTTTTATATTGGTAAAGAGATGCATAGCATTAATTATTGATGGCATTTGTTTGTATTATCTGGTCACCCTTTTTGCTTTTATTTTATTTTTTCTTGCTCCAAGCTTAGGGTTTATAAAGGGATTTTGCTTAATTGAATTTTTTTTTCCAACCTATTCACATTGTCAAGATAACCATTAACAAGTGACAAGCATGCATTTAGTGATGAACTTATTCATACATAGTACAATTGTAAAGATGCATACAGCAATGCAATAAATTGGATTTTCTCAATTTTTGGGTCAACTGCTGAGATAATCATAATTAACTTTCTCAAGCTATTGGAACAGTAAAGTTGAAATAACAAAGGGTAATTTCTTTCTTTTTTATTTGATTTTTTTTGGGTGAATTAATTAGAGAGGCAATAATCTTTTTTAAAGAACATCTATACAATTTCTATGTACAATTAATTTTAATGTAGAGATGATTGAAGTCTGTAATCTAGAAATCTTATTTCGTTGTGTTTGTAAATTTTACGGTTTTTTATTTTTCTAATTAAGTCTTAATTAATTATTAATATCAATTTAAAAGGAAATAGATGACATGGAGTGTCAAGATGAAGCCCACGTGTCAAAAAGTGCTTTGTGTAGGAAATAAATTTAAAAATACCCTAGTTATATATATATATATATATATATATATATATATATAAGATTTAAAAGTAACCTGGTGTAGAAAAAAAACTCTCCTCTGTAAAGGAAAAAAATAATAATACAAATAAATAATAAATAAAAATTATGATGTTGATAATACATGAAAACCTTTGTTTTTTTTTTTTTTTTTTTGGTATGGAAGAAATAGAAACAAAACAACTTGATTTGAAAATTAGTAACAAATCGATTCTTGAATGGATCAGTAAGGAAGATCCGTTAAATTAATATGCGAGCCAAGTTGTAATTAGAAGAATGAGCATTAATTTACCAACAATAACATACAATTTTTTTATTTAAATTTATAAATAATTTATAAATTAATGTGAACAGTGATTTCAATTAAACGATGAATCTTAAGCGATTTATGAAAATCTTTTTACCCAAATTTGATTATAATTTAACTTAAATCAAGAATTTGAAAACACAATCTTCTATTTCTTCTTTTTTATTTATTAATTTTTTAATCATAGATTTGATTAGTGGTTAGTCGTTGGTAATACAAACAGGAAGATGTCAAGTTTAATATTCATCGATAAAGGATCACTCTAACCATTATAATAAGTATAAAGAGTGAACTTTGATCTCCTGTTACATGAAGTGTAAACAATTTTAATATTCTTAACTTCGATCTCTTCTTATAGAGAGAGTAAACAATTTCAGTGTTTTTAACTTTACTACGAATGAAATCATAATCTTTTGAAAATGATTAATAGTACACTTCTTTTTTTTTTTTTTTTGACGCAAGAGAGATTGGAGAACAAAGCTAAGTTCCAAAGAAAGCCATCCCAATAACATCACTTAAAAGAATGTCGACAAGATCTGGAGAAGGATGTTGCAAAATTAATAATAACATAGTCATTTCTAGATTTTGATGTCAAATCTACAGTAACATTTCAACAGATAGGTCACTCTTAACTAAAAAAATCAATTTCACGATTGTCTTTTTTCAAAATATGACTAAATAAGATTATCTATTAATATCGTTAAAAACAACGAATATAAAAAATGATATGATAATACCTCAAAATATGACTAGATAAGATCATGCTTTAAAAAAAAAATGAATATAAAAGATATGTAATAATACGAATAAGAAGACGATACTCCATCCGATAATAGCTACTCCATAGGTTATTGGTCATTGTATAGTATCCCCAAATTATGTGATTAACAAACTAGGTAATTAAGCCCAAAATTGTTTCTAGTCAATGGACCACAAGAATAGATCCAAGTTGAATCCTAAATAATACTGGGCTTCTTCAGGTACAATATTCAGCCTTCAATCACAGATATGGCCCATTGAGAATCATCATCTTCCTCTGTTAATAGAGCGATAAATATGTAATAAAATGGACCAAAAATATTAAAGAACCAAAAGGACTAAATACTTTTGATTATATAGGATAGAGAAAGAGAAGGATTCTCTTGTTTATCAATCGTAAGCTCTTTTTCATTCTATAATTGGCAGAAGAGAGAAAGAAAGAAAGAAAAGCTGAATGGGTGACAGTTTATTTGAAGGCTTGCCTCCTCCATCTCATCAGCAACAAAGCCAAGAAGCAGAGGCTAATGATATTTCAGAAACAACTAAGAGACAATCATCTCCAGTGCCAGCCCCAACAAAGCCAGCTTTGAAAAGTGCCCTCAAGCGCCCTAAACCAGTGGAAACTAAACCAGACCCGGAAGGTAACTTTTAAACCTTTTTTTTGCTCCCAATGTTTAATTTTTCTTTTTATGTATGTATCTTTCGTAACTGTTTCTGGGGTTTACATGTTATTAAAGGATTGCAATTTTGGATTTGTTTTTATTTTTGAGTTTAAGTAATTAGAAGGAAAAAATTCTGCTTTAAGAATGTCAATGGAAGGGTACCTTGTGGTTTTTGCGATCCTGTAATGACGTGTGTTCTTTTTATTTCGAAATAGAGTTTGTTGTTTTGTTCTTCGTTTGATTCCAGAAGGGAACTTGAGAAAGGAAATAAAAGTTTTAAGTTCTTTTTCTTGTCGATTTTTTGTGAAGTGGATCTCAAATGTCGGGGATGCTTGAAGGATTGCTTGTATTAGGGTTTGAAAGTGAAGGGTTTAATTTCTTGGCTTTCAAAATAGTGAAATGAGTCTTTGATGATAGTATTGCCACTGCCAGTTTGAATTTATTCCTGAAAGACTATATTACGGTTTCCTTCATTCGATATATCTTGCTTAGTTTTTGAACTTTGATAAGGATTTTCCTTTCCTGTGGGTTAGGGGTGGTTAGCTGCAAGTAAACTCGTTTTCCTTTCAAATTCAAGTGATATATATCCTGTTATTTGTTCAATAAAAGCTTAATGTCCTATCATAATTCACAGATGCTGCAGCTGAAAAAGTCTCTGCATCTGGAAAGCGGTTGAGGTTTAAAACGACAACAGATGCCTCGGAGATGCAAGTTATAGAGGCCATGAAGAAGATAGCATCTCATATCAAGACTCCAACTAAGTTTTCTAAGGCTTCGAAGCTTGCCATACAGCTAATTCAGGCTGGAAGTATAAAACCAGGAACTAGTGACCACTTCTTTGCCATACTCGAGGCTGCAATGTCCTCAACCACTTCTTGCACGGAGCCTTCTGTGCGGGCAGATTATCATGCCTTGTTCTCAGCAGCTCAAGATGCAGCTGAAGTAAGTTGGTAGCATCACTGTTTATTTTCTGTAGACAAAAACATCTACTTTGGGTCTTACCAAATTGTCCTATTGCAGTGTCTGAACATGAAGCAGAAGAATCAATTAGCTACCTGGACAATTAGAGCAGTGGTAGCAAATGACTTATTCACTGATGACAGCTTTGTGGTATGCACTTTACTTTCTTAATTACATTTTCTTTTTAAAATTTCTGAATCATGACTTCAAAAAACTTCTTCATATTTCACAGTAAGGAGTGTATGACAGCCTGCAACTGGTTTTTGACATTCATTTGTGCTTTCTAATTTCTGGAAAGTTCTTGCATTCATGTTTGCTTTGGTAATGTTTAGGATATTGGATGTGTACATCATCAATTTTCTTCCATGATTTTGCTTATTTGCAATTTCAATCAAATATAGCTTAAATCGCATTCATTTGTCTTAGTTTACTTATTCTTGTATCTTGTACCACTAGTAGTCAATATACTTTTTAGCAGTGGAAATGTTAAAATTTGTAAATAACATTCAGTCAATCTAATAAATCATGAAGTGAGTATCATCAATCATCAAGGATTCAATAAGGGGTCATTTTTTTCGTGTGGCCAATTGCTTGCACTTCAACATGATTATTTTTTTCTCAAAAAAAAAAAAAAAAAAAAAAAAATGGAATCGTGCTGGTTAATTATTGTGGGATTTAATTACTTTAGCAGCTATTTCTTATAGGGTAATTGGTATCGAAAAAAATAATTGTTCTTTCTGTAAGGATGGAAAGAGAAATATAAAATGTCAAATGCTGATCAATATAAGTGAGGTTTCATCTGCGCACGTAAATGTTAATTTGAAACTTTTGGTGATGTTTCTGATGAGTGGGATACACTAATATAATTTATTTTTCTGGTCCTGACTATTGGCATTTCGTATAGATTGTTGTTGGGTTGTAAAAGCTATGGGCTAAAGTGGTTGAAGCAGATTCTTGTTGCCTACCATCAGTAGTTGGGTAAGGCATTGTGGATCTATTTTCCATTAAGTAGATATTCACGAGGAGGACCTTGTACTCTTATTCTTTGTCCTTGGCTTAGTTATCATGTATAAGAAGATTCATAATGAACTTGAAATACTAGAAAACATGAAAGACTAGCTCAGATTTTATAAAATAAAAAAATAATAATAATAAAAATAAAAAAATAAAAAACTAAGACACTCAAACTTCCAGAAAACTCTAGAATAAGCAAACATATAAAGCTTTTCTCCATTGAGTGTCCAATCCAGACCACACATAAGAAGCTCACTCAACTCAATTCAGTTAAGCCATAATATGTAATGTTTGTGATCACCTGCATGGATCCACCACCTCCTATCAGTTTTGTTATAGGTAAATCTCACATTAGAATTTCATGTAATTCAAAATAAGAAATAGATGAAAATATCTCCTAGATTTCTTTTTCCTTGGCTGCATCTACCAACTTGAGCAGATGCAAGAAAGAATGCATTGATCCTAATAGCATGTTCTTATCCCGGTGAAGAAAGATGAACTATTAAGATAAAGGCAGAGCAACTACAGCAAGGACATTAAGGTATCCTCCCACAAAGCTGTCTCTGAGATGGGAAGCTACTGCAGTAATATGGCCTTAAGGGTTCAAGTTACTGCAGAAACTCCATAAGTTGCCTCTAGCATCAGAAACTTATATGAGAAGTGGAAATGTTGTGTAGATATATTTCATGTCTTTATATCCGAGTGAAAATGGATGTGCTGTGCAAGCTAAGAATGTTATGATGACATAATTAGGATCTCTTTGTCCAGGTCATTCTAACAATTTTTAGTATTGACTGGTGATACATTATGATACAATTGCTTTAATTTTATAATTCGATTTAAAAGTACCAAGAAAACGAGGAGCAATACATTCATAAGTCAATGATAGGCATTGCTGAAATTCATGTAATATAGTTGATAACTTAGTTGGTTAAGTGGTGTTTGGATGTGGATGTGAATGTTGTAACTAAATGGTGTTTCCTAAAGATACAGTTGAATAGTTATTCTCTTGCTGATGATTTTGTTGGGCTGATAAGTGAAACATCTGGTATATGTATATTTCACTATGATATCGATGTCTCTGATTTCATTTGTTATGTGTAGTTCATTATGCTACCTGATTTGTGTTCATCATGACCTTCATTTAACTTTTTTTTTTTTTTTTCCTTTTTTTCTATTTGATTTTGGAACTTTTTGAGATGATTTTTTAAGTTAAACATAGAGCAAGAATTAAATTAAATTACCAGTGTGATAACATTTTTTTTTATGTGACCTAACAGTATGCTAAGTTAAAAATGTTATTTCAGACTTTTCAACTTGTCTGACATATGTTGTATTTTGTGCGCCTTTGTATAGTTTTCAAAGACAGCTGGACGAGTAAAAGATGCCATAACTGATCTTCCAGTTGCAACCAAGGATGATGACATAGAAGAAGCTGCATCACTAAACAATAAGGCAGCAACACCTGATGACTTCAGTGAAAGAGAAGATACAACTTCAGGTGCTGAAACTGAAGAGAATAAGAAGGATGAGTCCGATCCATTTGGGCTTGATGCTCTGATTCCAAGCACTGTGAAGAAAGATGAGAGGGCAAAGGGTAAGAAAGATATGCCAGCCATGGTGAGGAAGGAGGAGGAAGAAGAGAAAAAGAGATTCCTAAAGTCCCAGAGAGAGGCCTTGATTTTTTGTTTAGAGATTGCTGCCCGGCGTTACAAAACACCATGGTACAAACATTCACCTTTGTTGCACTTACTGCACATGCTGAGATATCTAATCTTTTCTATGGTGGGGGTTATAATTATGTAAGCTTTTTCACTGAAGAGCTAAAAACTTTTTCATTTCAGGTGCCAAACAGTGATAGACATTTTGGTAAAGCATGCCTTCGATAATGTTGCAAGGTTCACATCTTGCCAAAGAGATGCCATTGAGAAACTTTGGGCTTCCATACGGGAGCAGCAAATGTGTAGAAAACAAGGGAGATCAGTAAATGGGAAACTTGATGTGAATGGGTTTGAATGGCTTCAACACAAGTATGCTGGTGAGAAAATCAGCATTCGGCACTCTGTTGGTGGCAGTGGGGATCGTCGTGCTTCACAGTGGCTTGGTTAACAGTTAGTCTGCTACGTTGTAGTGCGGCATTTGCCGTGACAGGTGAACCGTGAAAGCAAATTGGATTTGTTCCTTGAAATTATAGTCGTCTCAATCTAACATGTATTGTTACACTCATTTTCAGGAATACCTTCAACATGTGAAGCTTAATGTTGTGACGCTTCCCTTCTCTGGCTTGTTGCCCCGTTTCACATTAGAATCTCTGTTATTTTGCTGTCGACAGTCAGCACAGAGTACAAAACTCACTTTTGCTTGAATATCAACCCTTGGTGATATTAATTTTGTGCCATCCGAGAGAATATAAAAAGCCACTTTGACAATTGGAACTTATTTGATTCAAAACCTGCATTATAATTTACAATACTTTAGTGGGCTGGAGGTGCTCAACAATTAAAAGAAGAGAGAGAAACTCCAAAAGGAAATGAGGTTTTGTTGCTCTAATCTTGGAATTCCATTTTCCAATGTAACAGTCTAGCTACTGATCCCTTGCTGTACTGCAAATATTTCAATATTTCCTTTTCTTTGTAGAGATATAATGAAAATGATAAAAAGATTTCAGGATGGTCTAACTTTCACTGTAATTATCTGCCTGTACATAAAGATTTTATGATAATAATACTGTTAAAATTTTTTGGTATTGCTACCAATAATCACCACAAGAACAAGATCCTTCTCTAAAGTGGTGAAAACGGTTACGGTCCCTGACTATAATTACCCTTTCGTAGATCTTAGACAACAGCTTGGTTGCTGTGTGACAGTCATCACAAATTCGGAGATTTTTGACAACTCGAATAGGAGTCCCTGGAGCGGTACTAATAAGGCCAAAAGCCATCGCTAACTTTTCACTGTGGTAGTTAAGTGCAGTTTCTTTCTCTTCCTCGTCAATATTGTGCAAGACTACAGATGTGTCTGGCAAGTAGCCAGCATCTTTTAGTTTCTGGCTCATCTCAGCTAGCATCTCACTGATTTTTTCAATCAGTGGGTGTGCTGTATCTCCCATTTTAAAATCGTGAACCAAACCAGTTACTTCGATTGAGCTCAGTCCCGGTTCCTTTCTGATTCCTGTGTCCTTCACAGCTTTTCTCAGGCCTGCAACATCATTCCATCTGTTTGCTGCAGCATATATGTTTGACATAAGAACTTTGTAACTACAATTTTGAGGTTCCAGTGCAAGAAGCTCTCTCGCTGCCAATTCCCCCATGTTAGGATTTTTATGAAGCTTGGAAGCAGCAAGCAGAGCACCCCAGATTGCAACATTAGGTCTCACGGGCATGCTTTCAATCACCTTATATGCCTCATCAAGCAGTCCGGCTCGACCAAGCAGATCCACCATACACCCATAATGCTCAACCTTTGGAACCAAGCCAAAGTCATGGATCATTTTCTCAAAAAGTCCTTTTCCTTCCATCACCAAACCAGCATGACTGCAAGCATGCAGGGCTCCTATAAATGTGATGTCATTGGGTTTTACACCCAGTCTCTCCATCTCTGTGAATAGTTTCAAAGCTTCCTCACCATATCCATGCATCCCGTATCCAGCCATCATTGCATTCCACGTGCAAATGTCTCGATCTATGGCTTCGCTGAACAGCCTCTGAGCCCCATCAATATCCCCACACTTGGCATACATGTCTATTAAAGCAGTTTTCAGTATCAAATCTACTTCAATACCTTGCTTGTCTATGTAAGCATGAAACCACTTGCCCATGTCAAGGGCTCCATTTTCTGCACATAACGAAAGCAGGCTGACCATTGTCAATTCATTTGATCTCACTCTGCTATCCCTCATTTGGACAAATATTTCAAAAGCGTGATCTATACAATTAGCTTGCGCATAAGCCGAAATCATAGCCGTCCAAGTCATAACATCTTTGTTCTCGATTTTATCAAATAGAGCTCTTGCACTTCTTATCTCCCCACATTTTCCATACATATCAACCAAAGCAGTGGCTAAAGCCAAAGACTTTCCAAACCCGTTTCTTAAAATGTAGGCATGTAGCCGCCTGCCCAATTGTACAGCCCCTACAAACCCACATGGAATAATCAAACTCAACATGGTAATATCATTAGGAAACACATTTCGTTCAATCATTTCAGCAAATAATCTTTCAGCCTCTTCCAAATTATTGTACCTAATGTAGCCAGCAACCATGGCAGTCCAAGAAACAACGGTTTTTTGACTAAAACCATCAAAAAGTGTTCTTGCAGCATCTAAATTTCCACACTTTGCATACATATCAATCAAACAAGTAGTCAATGGCACAACCATTTTCTCATTATTGCTATTCCTTGTAACATAACCATGCATTGCTTTCCCCATTTCAACATTCTCAAGGTCAGCAAATAGACTAGCCATGCTAATCATAGCAACCTCACTAGGCTTAACATTCAAAAAATGCATATTTTCAATAAATTTCAACCCCTCATTGAACAATCTGTTTCTACTGTAACTTCTAATCATCGTACTCCAAGAAACAGCATCTCTCTCACTCATTTTATCAAACAGTAGCCGCGCCGTTACTAAACTACCACATTCAGTGTACATTTGCATCATTGCATTGACTACATAAACATCATTAACCAACCCATTCTTAACTGCAAAACCATGAATCTCTTTCCCCACCTGGGCCATTGAGATTTGACTGCAAGCTTTAAGAACTGATGGGATGATAAAACTGTCCACTTCTATGTCTAGTTTTCTCATGTAAGTATAGATGTTTAGTGCATATCTTGGCTGGTTGTTTTTAATGTATGATGTTATGAGGAAGTTGTATTGGGCTTCAGGGCTTAAGTGCAGTTCAAAGTGGTTAAAAGGAGCTTGTTGGGTGTGATTGAAGTGGGTTTTGATTATGTGGGCATGGAGTTGCTTGGTTTGATCAAGAGAGGGTTGGTTATTAGGAGTGAAAGATGGATACTTCAGGTGTTTGTTTTGATGTTGAGGTGATGGATTTTGTGGGGTTTTGGTGGAAGGTAGAGGAATGGGTTGTGTGCGTTTTCGAATTGGGAGAGGAAGGAGGACGGAAGTAGGTTTGGCATAGAGCAGAGGCATTTTTATGATTTAGGCCTTTTGTTTGGGCAATGGCCGGTGAGTGAGAGCATTCCTTTACTTGTGAAGTTGCCATGTGATGTAATCTCGTTCTTGCATGTTATGTTCTTGAAGTTGAAGACAAAGATCACCAGCAAGGCACTAACTTCTCTTGTCAGCCAGACATTCAATATCTTGGAGTCGGGTTGGGGTCTGCTAAGTTCAGAGTTACTTGTAACTTAAATTAATGTAGTTTAAAGAAATTAATTAATTAATCCTTATAGTTTCAAATCTATCTATTTAATCCCCACATTTTAAAATCTAAATTATAATTCAGTCCTTTCATTATTTTTTATGTTCATTTTCAAATTTTTTTTATTATTTGAAAAAAAAACAAAAAAAACAAAAAGAGATATAAGACAATTAGGGAAGATGGGAATTTTTCATTATGACAAGAAGCATATTTGAAACTACTAAAATGAGAATGGTACACGATCATCAAGAGGGATTATATAATATTTTTTATGCTACGAAAATTAATTAATTCGTTTTAATAAACAACAATGACTAATTTATAATTAGCTCAATAAGCTTTGTTAGATAAAAATCCATTTTTATGTGCATTATCATGAAGAGAGCAAAGAGAGTGGAGAACAACTCCCATTCCAACAAGGTTCTTATTTGGGGTGGGGGGGGAGGCATAGTTTTCATAGAGTGAACCAATTCATACATAAAACATTTTGGAGGTGAAATTCATTCACGTGAGGTAATGAACTACATTTGATCACAACAATAAATAGTAAAGAAAAAGATTGAGTTAGTATGATGTTTCATATTTAATTCATATTCTTGACTTTTTAGATACATAGTATCTTTACACTATCTTAAACTTCAATCCCAATAAATATATATTAAGCGTTAATTGAATTTTTGTACTCTTATCACTTTATTTAATGTGAATTCTCTCTTAGAAATTTAGCTACGAACATTAAGTTAATCGCATAATCAAGCAACACGTGTCTTTTGATCATCAACTCTGTCGGTTTTTTTTTCTTCTCATTTTTTATTATTTAAGGTATTTATAGAAATTATAAATATTTTTTAAAAATTTTATTTTGTTTTTTATATATAATTTCCATAAATGCTTTAAGTAATATATACATAACAGGGGTTCAATGATCAAAAGACACATGTCATTTGATTGTGCAATTAATTTAACGTCATTAAGCAAATCACTAACAAAAGATTTACATAAATAAATTAATTTACTATAGCTACTCAATTAACACTTAAATTGATATAAAAACCTGATAAAGGAGTTGATTGTAACCATTAAAATATATAAATTTCACCATAATACCAAATCACAACTTTAACGAAATAAAATTTCGCACATAAAAGTTTGCATTATTTTAATTTTCTTTCCAGTCCACTAAAAACGAATTTGAATTTGAAAATATATAAAAAAAAGTATATTTTTGTTTTCTTTTTATATTAAAAGCATGAATGCTTTAGAATATCTTTGTATTTATATGAAATACATATCAGATACAAACACGATTGGATACGCATCAAACATGAAGGAAACGATAAAAAAATTAATAAAAAATAAATTCAAATTTGCATGCATAGCTGACACAACTAGGATACGCGAGGACATGAACAAAACTAGAAATTTAAGATTGGAGGGGTCAATTGTAAAATACTTGATTTTTAAGAGTTCTATGTAAAATGAAAGGATATAATTCTAAACTTTTAAGATTATAGGACTAAAATATAATTTTGTTTTCATATTCTGGGGGAGCCATGCTCCTGCATGAGGTACGTGGCCAGGATATTTTTAGGATTAAATTTGTATTTTAAAAAACAAATTGGTTCAAATATTATTTTAAATTTTTATGTGTTAAAAATACTTAAAAAATTTAACCAAGCACTCAATAGAACTTTACTTCAATATTTCTTTTAATTATTAATTTTTATATAACAATAAATCATCAACTTTTGTATGAGAAATATTTTTCAATAAAAACAAAAATAAATAATTTTTTAAATTTTGATTAAAATAATATGATATTATTATTTTTAAATTTAAAAATGATATAATTTCATTCAAAATAACAAATTAAAAGGAAGATATATAGTAATAATTAAATTAAAGAGAAAAAAGCTATCTTCAATCCTTTTATTAGCATCATAATAATTATCCAAATAACTTGAGTTTTAGATGTCCAAATTTATTTCATTATTAAGGAAAACAAATAACATGAAGTTTATCTCTTTTATTTTTTTACAAGTTCATATATCGATGCATTCAATCAATTATGCATTATTATTAATTACATTGATTTTTTAATATATATAAGATTTTGAAGTATCAAATCACGTATCATATACTAAATTTTCAAGAATTTCCGTATCGAAAAGGGCTTACAAGTTCGACGTCAAGGCTGTTTGGCCCATCATGGATTAAGGCTTCGTTTCGTCTTTAGCCCATTATAATTTTGGGTTTTTTTCTACTTGGGTTCATGGGCTTTTTGAAATGGAAGTACTGTACATGTAGTGTTTTAAACTTTTTAGAGGGCGAGGTAGAAAATATGCCAAAAAAGCAGGGGTGAAACAGAACAAAGAAATAAAATCCCGGATAAAACCCTAAACCTTAACGACCTCCACCTATATAAATCACAGCTAAAACCCTTTTCCTCCGACTCTTCACCAAGCGTCTGCAGCTCCCATCTCTTCAAAGGTGCACGCTTTTTCCAATTCTTTCTTACTTGCTCAACAGTTTGCACTTCATTTTCGCTCTCATCGCTCTCTTTTGCTGTTTTCTTTGAACTAATTAATATAAATCTCTGCTTAGTTCGTGTTCAAGAGCACATATCGAAGGCTTGCAGTGGATTCGATATAAAGAATCTGCGAGCTCAAAGCTTGTGCAATATCATATATCACCTTTTTTTATGAAGCCCTCTTGATATTTCACTTGTTACTTGAGGACCTTTCGTGGGGTGATGCAAATTTTTTGATCCATTTGATGTTATTAGTGATAGTTAGGTTTTTGGGTAGATTGGTGTATTCTTTTTGCAAGAAATGTGTGTTTGTAGACTTGATTTTGTGTATATCTTTCTGTTAGTTTATCTCTGTAAATTATTTGTTTTATTTTGGGTTTTTATAAAGCCAATTTGCAGAGCAATGGTGTCGAAAATGGCACAACTTGCATTGAAGGTTGGCGATAATAATAGCAATTCTCCGTGCCTATCAAATCTTGATTTCGTTTTGATTATGGCCTCGAACAAGTTGCTACATTTGTTGCTCTTTTCTTTCTTTATTTTGATGTTATAGTTAGCTGATGTGGGGATTCAGCTTGTGAATAAATAAGCATTTGAGAGCTGTGGTGATTGCAGGTTCTGAAATGTCTTTGTTCTTTTGATGTTTTAACAGGGTTTTGAATTGTGTAAATGAAGATGTCGAATCCTAAGGTTTTCTTCGATATTCTAATTGGCAAGGCAAAAGCTGGTCGGGTTGTGATGGAACTCTTTGCTGATGTCACTCCTAAAACTGCTGAAAATTTCCGTGCTCTATGCACTGGTGAGAAAGGGATTGGAAATGCTGGAAAACCACTACACTATAAGGGCTCAGCTTTCCACCGCATAATCCCGAACTTCATGTGTCAGGGTGGGGATTTTACCAGGGGTAATGGGACTGGAGGAGAATCTATCTATGGCGCGAAGTTTGCTGATGAGAACTTCAAGTTGAAGCATACAGGGCCTGGTATTTTATCAATGGCAAATGCTGGACCAAACACTAATGGTTCCCAATTTTTCATTTGCACCGACAAGACGTCATGGCTTGATGGGAAACACGTTGTTTTTGGGAAAGTTGTAGATGGCTATAGTGTTGTTCAGGCAATGGAGAAGGTTGGGTCCAGTAGTGGGACGACTGCGCAATCTGTTGTTATTGAAGATTGTGGTCAGATTACGGAGAATTGAATTGGTATGATCAAGATAATAATGGCTCATGCGTATCTCTCATAATTGATAGTTTAGGGGAGAGTAAGCAACAATGTAGGTTTTGATATATAAACTTGTAAAGCATTGCTCATCTTGTATTTGCAATTTTGAAAACTCTGTTGTGTATTAAATTCCTGTTTCTGCCAAATATTAAATTCGTCTTTAGGGTTTGGCTAACATGGTTTGGGATATGCAGGCAATGGCTTATTTTACTTTGATAATCAATGTTTCACGATCTGTTTTAGTGTACAACCCCTTAGATGTTCGAATGGCCTACATTAATTAATAGTGTACAACCCCTTAGATGTTCGAATGCCCTACAAATCAAATCCCATCCCTGTATGACCCTCGCAAGCCTACCTATACAACTCTTCTAGAGCTCTCTTTCCTTCGTAAATATGGTTCCTTATATACAGGCCAAACTGTAAAAAAAACAAAAACAATTTGGATTTGTATATAGAATACTCTAATCTATCTCTCAAGAAGTCTGGCTTGATGTGCCAGTATACTGAAGTTCGTTTTCGTAGCTTGCAAATCCTCTAGTGTTGGATCATAATATAATTCTCCCATTCACTCATTTTTTTCAATTTGACTATATATAATTCTCACGGAATAAATATGGCTATTTATATATCATCTTTTTTGTTACCGTTATCATCCTCGTAAAGATTCCCGCCGGTCAATGCCTGTCCCCAACAATTTCAGCCAGCCATTTTCACCGCTGACCACTACTATCTCAACCCAAATCGAGCCCATTATTTCAATTGTTCTTTTCTTAGACCACAAATTGACCGTCTCCTCTGTCTCTGTCTCATTATAATTCAAGACAAATTATTTAAAATAACAAGCTAACACAATTAACTGGGTGGAGATTGTGTTTATAGTGAAGAAGTAAGTTTCAAGGGATCTCGCAATTTCGAGTCTCTCTTGGGAGCCCCAGTGGATTTTGCGATCTTGCAATAGATTTAAACTGAGGTTTAATTAATGTGCTTGAGTTGGTTTTGTAGTAATGGAAGGAAGTGGTTTTGGAGGCAGTGGCAGCGACAGCAGGAAGAGTTGTGGAGATGCCTGTTATTTGTTTTTCCAAACCACCACTTAAACCACCATGAAATAAGTTTTTGCTATTAAATTTCTCAATATTAGTCTTTTTTTTTAATGAAATTTTACAAATATAATTAATTTTTACCGGTTAGTAGATGGTGATTTAGAAACTGACGGTTTCTTTATCCTTCGGAGTGGAATTGGGAAACTGAAAGGGCGATGAAGATGAAAATAGGAAGCCTTGGTTTTATTTAAGGAACTACAAATTTAATGCAGAAAAATGACTTAAGAATACCCATCACTTCTCACAAATAAATGTTGCAGCACGTTGAAGACCGACAGAACAAGCACATTGTTTCTCTAGTTTTCATGTAGACTTATGCATAATTGTTAGAATTCATACCCTAACATGTCTTTATATAATATATTAATTTTTCAATTTGTTCTAAAAAAAGAATACTCCTTTAATTTGTCCTTTTATTTTGACCTGATTTCTAATTTATTCTTTAATTAAAATTTTCAGCTAAATTATTAAATATGTGATTTATATATGATATATGATTTGATAAAATTATCATTATTATTTGATACAATTAATTTATATCTATTTATATCACTGCAAGAAAATCAAAAAATAGCGACGGATTTTTTCGTTGCTATATCATCCACTGCAATGCATTAAATAACAATGAATTTTACCAATGAAGTTCAAACCATGGCTAAATAGCCTTAAATTAGCTTCTTTTACATTTAGTAATGGAATAGAGATCGATTTGCAAGGAATTCTTAGCGACAAATCAATTTTCATTGAAAATATTTTGGCCATAATATCAATTTTCATTTACGACGGAGAGATGGATTAGCTATAAAATATAACAACGGGTTATTAATCATGTTGCTAAAAATATTTTGGCTTTTAGCAACAAGCATGACCATCGCTAAATGGTTCCTATTTAGCGATGGGAATATTCTCATCAATAATTGTTGATTTTTTAGGCAGTCTTTGAAAATTCGAAGGCCGTTCCAATTTAAAACCCAAGATCATGCCCATCGTTGATCTCCTGGGTCTTTAATATATATATATATATATATATATATATTTCAGTTTGTTCATTTATTTATTAAATTATTAATTTGTTGAATTGTTGAATTTTGTTCATTGTTAGATTAATTTCTTAATTAAATGTAATTTAAATTTAAGTAGAATCAATTTGTAATTAATTAAGTTTATTTTATTAATGTTTAGTTAATTAATTAGTTTAATTGCTTGAATTAGAATAAATTAGTTAAGTAAATGTAAAAGTTTTGTTAATTAAGTTAATTTAATTTTTATTTTACATTTAATTTGGTTAGAATTAGAATTAATTAAGTTAATTTGATTTATGTTTAGTTAATTAATTAATTAGGTTAATTATATTTAATTGATTGGATTAGAATAAATTTGTTACTTAATTCTTATTTTGTTAATTAAATGTAAAATTTTTTTTAATTAAGTTAATTTAATCATTATTTTAAATTTAATTTGGTTAGAATTAGAAATAATTAAGTTAATTTGAATTGCATTTAGTTAATTAATTCATTAGGTTAATTATTTTTAATTGGTTGAATTAGAATTAATTACTTAATTAATTTTTATTTTGTTTATTAAATATAAAATTTTTTAATCAAGTTATTTTAATTGTTAATTTAAATTTAATTTGGTTAGAATTAGAATAAATTAAGTTAATTTGATTTACGTTTAGTTAATTAATTAATTAGGTTAATTATGTGTAATTGGTTGGATTAGAATAAAATTTTTAATTAATTATAATTTTTTTAATTAAATGTAAAATTTTTTAATTAAGTTAATTTAATTTTAAATTTAAATTTAATTTGGTTAGAATTAGAATTAATTAAGTTAATTTGAACTATGTTTAGTTAATTAATTAATTATATTTAATTGGTTGGATTAGAATAAATTTTTCAATTAATTGTAATTTTTTTAATTGAATGTAAAATTTTTGTTAATAGAGTTAATTTAATTTTTATTTTAAATTTAATTTGGTTAGAATTAGAATTAATTAAATTAATTTTATTTATGTTTAGCTAATTAAGTTAATTATGTTAAATTGGTTGAATTATAACTTTATTTATAATAATACTTATTAATTTATTATTATTTTAAATTTAATTAGGTTAGAATTAGAATTAATTAGTTTAATTATTTTGTATATAATTATTGTAGTGTGTCGAAATATGCAATTGCGTATTGAACCCAAGTAGTCGAAGACTTTCGAAAATGGAGAAGAAATAAGGTTAATTCAATACTCGGAACCGAGAGGAAGAGTTTGCGATTTAATTTTGATGGAGTATCCAAGACTATTGTTGGTTCCGATGTGCATAATATTTGTGTGATCATTTAGAGTATTTGTTAATTGGGGAAGGTACAATTTACATGAAAAATTGTCGAAATTTTATTAGATATTTAGAAAAATTATTAATTAGATAATGTTGTGGTGAATCGGAAATGCAAAAACAAAATAATGAAATCCGATCGTAAATGAATGTATGTTAGGTATATAGATGAGTATTTAAATGATGATTTTGCGAATGAAGTTGAAGAATTTGCAATATTTGCTGATGCTATTTTGAATGTAATTCTTATGATTTTTTTTTAAAAAAAAAACAACTTCAATTGTAATATGAATTTTTAATATCAAATGCAAGTAGCATTTGTGTGTAAAATAAGTTGTAGGACAGCGGACTGGGGATCAAAGTTTAATCCCAATAATAAATTTGTGGGTTTCGTATTTTTATTTGTTGATGATTAGATGAACAAACAAATAAAAAATATGTTCATCCCGATTTCTTCTCAAAATTTCTTCAAATTTACACGCGCCAATTCATGTAATCAATAATTAATTTAAACAAATTTGATCCAAGAGAACAATATTAATTTCCACTTTGTTCATAAAATTCACACAGAGGAGGAAAAAAACACACACACAACGGAAGAAGACTATGTTTTTTTCGTTTTTTATATAGGAAACTCAAGACGAGCTTTGTTTCCTAGTTATTTAAGGAACACTTAAATTACCATCACTCCACACAACTCATGAAGAAGCCTGACTTGAAGTGCCAATGTAGAAGGTTCAAGTTGATCGAAAAACCCTCATGTTTTCCAGATATACTGATGGACCTTATGCTGGTACTAGCACTGAAGTTATAGGCCTCGGTTTATTTTAAAATTCCATAACATCATCGAAATCTTCTCTGGAACATCGATCAGCAACATTCTACTTAAACAAATTATATCAAGTCAGACATACTTGCAAGTGACGACCCTTGCGTATATCTACCAATCTTTTCGCGAAGCTGCACAACATGAACGCAGAGGTAGCAATAATTAGACCACAAAGAATTTTTATTTTGATTTTTTATGCTAAACAACTGAATATATATATATATATATATATATATTTAGACAAAACATAAAAAAATCTTTTTCTTACTCTGTAAGTATGTCTTCATTCTTTTCCACCAGATCTTCGCCAATCTTTTTGAGACTGCTTAGATTTTTGTCAGTTGGGTCGTCCATCGCAGCGTTAGCGTTACTCAAATCAGCCTGATTGTAGTATCAAGTAGCAGCACATCATAAATGTCTCCATAAGATCTAATTGCTGCTTAAAAATTTAGAACGTTGAGAGTGTCTTAATTTGGTTCTAAACAGTCTTCTAGGAAGTCGTTGGGATAAAAAAAGAATATATATATATATATATATATATATATATATATTTGCACAAGTTTCTTTACAAGTTGCATGATGGTCACATGTGTGTGTGTATTTTTTTTTTTTAATCTGAAACTCATGGATTGGCCTTAAACTGGAAATTTCACACGCTTTTGGAATTGAAGAAACAGACTTAAATCTTATGATGGTTAAAAAAATATATATATGAAAAATGAGATTCAAACTTTTTGACTATTGGAAGTCCGAAGCTGTTGCCACTATGCACCATATGATTTGGTTCAGGCAAACCTTCAATTTTTGAACCGCATGTCAATCTAACTGACCAACATGCATCTGGTTCAAAAACAAAGTGTGCTTCTCTATATTCAATGACCAAAAAGATATGTAATTAATGCCTCGGTTTGAAAACACAAGGTACTTTAAAAACCCTCCCAGTTTCATATGGTAAGTTTTAAGAAAATCTTTGGAAACATTTTCCTATCTCGGCCAGCTCCAAATAGAGAACTCTTTGCTATAATTTTTGGCATTTGATATGCAATGCTAGAATGTTTATTTAAGAAAATTCCTGCATAGTCTATGTCTATGTCTCAAATGCGAGTCAATATACGGTACCTGGATCCGAATGTAGTTTTCTTTTAATCCAGATGATTGAAAGATGCTAGTCATATACATCTCAATCATTTCGTCGGCTGAAGTCATCAAAATGTCAAGCAATGGGTTGGAATTGTCATTTTGCCAAAACCAATTAACGATTCCCCACTTGTCAGGATCTCCAACTTCTAGCTTATCCTTCCCGTTTGCTGCTCCAGTTCCAAGGGAGAGAACAAGAATATTACGACAATCGATCTTCCTTTCTTTGATCACCTCACATACAGCTAGCAAAGACTGATAAAACTATGACATGTGAGATGAGACATGTGTATATAACTCAACACAAATTCGTTTTTATAGGGTAATAGCAACTTACAGGATTATTGGCTGCAACACCGCCATCAACTAAGTGGAAATTCTTGTTGCCTCCAAAATAATAGGGCGGGAAGTAATATGGTGCTGCAGACGTCGCAATACAAACATCTGATAATGCATGATCCATTGACTCATCTCGTTGTGCCTGTGATTTATTCATTAGACAAGAATATGAGATGAACTTCCTTCGGATAAATATGTTAATGCAATTACTATAAGATCAAGAAGAATGACCTTTAAGGTGGAGAAAATGATTGGCCGAAAACGTTTGATGTCAAAAGTGGGAATTATCACATTAGCTATAGTCTCACTGATCAGAAGATCCTTTCCTAAGCTTTGCTCGATGGTCTTATGTAAATAACAACCATCATGTTTTGGTTCTAGGAGAGACATCATTATATTACGGACCCATGTAGGCATCGGCAAGCTTAAAACATGCCGCAGGAACTTATCAATAATGTTTCTGCTGCCGGTTGTCCTGTTTAAGAGAGAGATCACCAGGAAGTAAATTTCAGGGTAAATTTACTTAAATATGCAGGCAGATACCTATTGATTTTTTATTTTATTTTTTCTAAGAGAAAACACTGTTTCTTTAGGTATACAGTTAATTTAAAAGAAAAATAAAAAAATCCATCTCCTCTATTTTACTTACGTGTCCGCCAAATCAAGAAACAAATCACCAGTCCATTCACCAATCCGTGATATTATGTTCTTCTTTTCTTCTTCCCCAGGATTCAAAGCCTCCTTTTTTTCATCAGTATGTTTGGCTTGAAAGATAATTTCACTCTTTTTACCGTAAAAGTCAACGATTTCATTTGCAGCAAACAAGGGTCGACGATTCTTCTGATCATCAGGAGCAGTAAGCATAGCTGTCACGAGGCCTCCTGTGCTGGTTCCAGCAATGAAGTCAAAATAGTCTGCAATCCTCACACCCTTGTCTTTCTCCAAGCCCTATATCGTTATCAACATAAACCAAAAACTGTGTTATTGGTACGTAAGAACTATTATATACCTCAAGTGCATTAATTGAGCAACGAACCTGGAGTATTGATTCAAGATATCTAAGAACTATGCTAGGAATGATGCCTCTCACTCCTCCACCGTCAATGCTAAGGATTGTGATAACTTCATGCCGATATGTTTGATTTGGACTTTCGCTCCCTAAAATTTTGCCAACAATAACAGAGAATAATTAAACAGCAATATTAATGATATATAGGGTCAAATATATATATCTTTAACTAGCATATCAAAATCATAAGGTTTTGCTCCATAAGATGTTATATTTACAAAACTATACGAAATGCTTGAGCATGAATTGAAGAAAGCTCTGGGGCTCACCCATGGTGTGTGTAACTGGAATCATTTTGATTTGTGAGTGCATGGTTGCTTCACTACCACTTGGGCATCAAAATAAATAGGGCAATCCCCTGATGTGACAAGATGAAAGATTTTAAGCAAAACAAAAAATTCATTGACAAGTAGACCAAAAGAAACACCTCATGCAAGAAAATTCATCAACACAAAAGATCTTATCCGAAAGAGAAAGTTCATAATTAAGTGGACGATTAACTATTTAATATGGAATATATGCTCTAGTATAGTTGAGGTTGAGTTTTATTCAAAAGACTTAAGCCTTGTGGTAAGTAGCCCCTTCACAACTATATATATCACTCATATTTAGTATAATTATTCAAGTAATAGAATGATTCAAAAGGTTCTCAATATGAATTTAACTATTTAATATGAGATATGTGCTTTAACAACCAAAGACATAGAGTGCTTCATGAAAAATATTATTCCATATACCATTGTTTATGTTGATCGAAATAGTGTCATTGATTTGGTGGACATAATTTCTTTTCGTTACAAATGAGAAACTTCAACTGGCTGAGACCTCTCACTGAGATTGAGACTTGGGTGCTAGTATGATGATTATTGATTAGTGGATGTAATGTACTCTTTTGTATTAATTTATTTCTATAATATATCCTTATAATTTAATTCATTTGGCCCATCAACCAAATCTATATAATAATTTTGGGGAACCTATCATTGTATCTTACATAATACAAAGTTTTGCGATCATGTATCGTTTATAGATATGTCATATTTGAGATTCAACATTACAAATTAGCAGGGAAAATGGGTACGGCAATGTTAAAAAGCTACAATTATGCTTTAAGAATATAACAATATATACAAAGGGTCGATCTCTTCACGTTTAGCATTTAATAAATTATATTTATGATGCATGTGTTTCACATGATATGATTCTATTCGTGTATATGTTTATTACAGAATTTTCTTTTCTTATTATAGCTTTTTCTTTTTCCTTCCTTTAGCCTTTAGCACTTTTTTTTTTTTTTTAATATTCTCTCTCACGTTATGTGTAGATAAAGATTTGTAGAAGAACAATTGTGTTGGGTAAGATTTGTTTAACTGCAGTGATGATGATCTGTCTTTTTCAATCCTATTGACATGTCCTAGAGAAAAGGTGAACAAAAATAATTTAATGCTCAATATGTAGTGGCTGTTCAAACATTGCCTTATCTCGAGATTTTCAGCGTTCTACAAGCATGGAAATTAATATCAACGCATGCAAATAAATACGAAATTTTTAGTCATGTACAATTACGTGACTAATTTTCATAATTTTACTTTTAAAAAAATTTTTAAAATAATAAATTAAAACTTAATATGTATTTAAAGCTAAAATTTCTACAACAAAAAATATAAATATAAATTAAAGAATTATCTTATTATATAATAACCAGAAATATAAATATAAATTAAAGAATTATCTTATTATATAATAATAGATTGAGTGATTCACTCAAGAATACGATGAGAAGAATTTTTCTTTTTTTTCTTTTCAATCCTTAAGAAAAGAATGTCTTGCTATAGCTTTTCTTTTTCAAAGCTTTTGTCTTTTGCACTTTTTTATTATTTTTCTCTCACGTGTGTGTATATGTATATTTTTTAAGAGAAGAACAGTTGTGTTTTGTAAGATTTGTTTGTCTTTTTTATGTTCTAGAGAAAGTGAACTAAAATGATTTAACGCTAGTTAGCCTAGTTTGCAGTGGTTGTTCACACATTGTCCCATCATGAGCTTCACAGTGTCTTACAAGCATGGAAATTAAGACGTATGAATGTAATTAACTCAATACGAGATTGGCAATGGTTAAAAAATTGTACTTCATCTTTAATTATCGTGATTCAAAATTCAGATTATATTTTAAAAAATAAAAATTTTATAAATTTTTTTAGTTGTAGGTTGGATGGTCTGTTTTTTACTACACGAAAGAGATGGATTTTAAGCTCAATGAGTCAATGTATAAAAAAAAAATACTACACTTCAAAAAAGAGAGAAAAGGAGAAACAACGAGATTCAAGACCGAACGGTAGAACACTTCACACAAACATAAGTTGTCATGAAAAATATGTTTAAATTGATTTTTAAAATGCATGGTTCAAATATATATATAATTATGATTATAGAAAAAAAAAAAAGCTTTTTTTGTTTATCATGTCTCATTAAAATATGGTAGCTATGAAGTTATTTATTCATTTAATATTTCCAATTAAGTTGTGATGAGAAATGCTAAAGTTATGTTGATTGTACAACAAGCAACCCTAATTTGCTTTTCCTTTTATGAAAAAAACTGCAAAAGACAACGGAGTTAAATTGGCGACTCTTTTTGTTTCCTTCATGGTGACCCAATGGATCTTTTACTTTTCATTAACACAACTTTGTTGTCTAAGTTGATAAAATATCAACTGTTGGCTTGAACCGATAAACATCGTTGATTTATTTTTATTTTTATTATTTTGTATAAAATAATATCCGAAGGATGAATATTTCATTCATCACCGAAATCTTTATTTATTTAACCTCTAAAGGTTAGATATTTCACTCATCAAAAAACATTTTACATTTTAATATTTCAAGATGCGTATGGTATTATTTTTTCACGTTAAACCTTGTAGTTCTAAAATGGTCAATTGGGTCCTTGACATTGTACTTTAGGAACAAAATTAGCGCGTTCATCAAATTAGGTTAGAACTAAAGTCATATTATGAGCTTAACACAGACGCAAAGTGCACGATGATGATCGAGAATTTGGTCATATTTGACCATTGGATCGATAGAGAATTTAACTATGTTCTGAAATTCTCATCGATGACAGAACTATATTTAATGCATGTTGGTTTGTTGTTCTCGTTCATTAGTGTTTTTTCCTCTTCAATAAAAATTTGGATAACATTGTTTTTGATGTGATGAAAAAATTGAGATTACTTGATAGTCATCAATCTTTCATTAGTAGAGTTTATTAGCATCATATATTCCCTAATTAATTTATGATTGGTTTAATTTATCCGTGTGCATATTATGCAACTAGGGATGATAGTGGATCAGCTACAAAATAGATATCATATCTAATCCATCCATTAATTATCTTTTTAAAATAACCTAATAGATAATGGGTTAAATATGAGAAAAATAGTATTATCTATTTATATTAATGGATAAGTTATTCATGAACATGAATATCTTTTTTTATCCTATTGATACCTATCTTTTACTAATTAACATAAAAAAAATATTAAAATACAAAATTTTAAAATAAACAAAAGAAATAAACAATTTTTCTTATTGATGAATCAAAAGCATAGTGTGTGTGTGCATGCGCACGTGTGCAAGTTGTTTTTTTTTTTTACACTATACGTTTTTATTTTGCATTCTTTCCTCCAATATTTCTTAAGTTTTTCTTTCCTTTGAGTTTGAATTCGATTCTGGTTGAAAAGTTGAAATTAACATGTTCCTATTAGCAAGTTTTATTCATAAAACCCTCCCAAAAATTATTTGATATGATAAATTTTTTTAAGGAAATAATTTTATTAGTTATTATTGTAGAACTCATCTTTTTCTCTTATACAATTATACAACAAAACTACAAACTCATTGATTATTATTAATATTAATATTATTATATCAAGTTTCCCTAGCTTCTTGTTTTTGGGAAATTATCAAGAGATTGCATGTTTTAGTTTAATAATCAAATTGTGGATGGTTTGATTTCTGAATGTAGTTTATTTATTTTTATTTTTATTTTATTTTTTTCATTTTGGATTTTTTTATTATTTTATTATTATTATTTTTTTTTTGTGATAAAGTGATCATAACAATAACAGCATTTTCACCCTCGTGTTTTAACCCGATCCATCATAGTGGTAAGGTAAAAAATGCTTAAATAGTATGGAATTATTAGTTTTTTTTTTTTTTTGGCAACACCTATTAAGAAACCATACTCTGTTTATGTCTTAAAAAAAAATAATTCTATTTAATTTTTTACATAAATTAAAAAATTATTAATTATTATGTCATATTAAAATATTTTATTTATATTTTTAAAATTATTTATTAAAAAATTATATTTACATAATTTTTTATAAAATAGAATTTAATTAAAAATATTTTAAAACTTAAAGGAAAAAAATTGAAAATTTTTTTTTCAATTTAAGGAAAAAAATTAGCATATAAACGAGTATAAACATAGTATGATATAATAAGTATGAGTTGGGTAAGAAAATGGACAATTGATTTTTAATGGATAATGGATATAGTATTTTTTAATAGATAGGATATGTGATTTGCATAGTTTTTAACTTTTTCAAATAGCAAGTTGCAATATATATATATATATATATATATATATGGAAATAGTTTGTTATTAATGGAATCGCTATTCTTCCTTTCCGAAAAAGGGGGAAGGGGGCAGTCCTAACACAAATACACTCTTAAACTATTGGGATACTATCAATTTTGCACCAAATTATTTTTTTATATCAATTTTATCTCCAAACTATTTTGATTTTTGAGTTAGAATTTCTATTGTAATCACTGAACAAAAATCGTTAAGTTTCATACAAAATAACATCACTGCTTACAAAGAAAATTACAGTTTATGAAAATATAGATGAAAATCTCTAATTGAAAATTTCTGAAAATTAATATAAAGGTAAAATTGGTACTAAAAATTATATAGTAGTAAAATTGAGACTAACTATATAGAAGATATTTTTGAGATTTCCCAAAAAAAAAAAAAAAAACCTGAGAATCCCAATACCGTTGAACCATTCTCTTACAACTATTACGTACAATTAATTCTCGAGGATTAGTAATCCAATAGGCAGGACACATAAACTGTCTACTTTCCGCTTGTCAATCAACATGCCATATGGTGTTTATGCATGTCAACGGAGATTCATTCATGAAGACGGAGGATGCATCTTTCATCTCTACCTTCATGGAAGCTTCCTAAATCCTAACTTCTATATCTAACTTCATTTCAATCAAAGCCAATTTTCAATCCTTCATGCTCATTTTCCGTGGAGACAAGCCTCCAGTATAGCTCCACACGATCTTGTTCGTATCCAATTTTTATTAACTAAATTTAGTACATAGCCCATTAATAAACAAAATACTTACAATGTATCAAACAAAGTTAATCAAGATAATACTAGGGAAAAAAACGAATTTTTACACATTTTGCATTTAAAAACAATATCACACAAAATACTTACAAAGTATCAAACAAAATACTTAAAAATTGGTGTATACAAACTGCAATTGAATAGTCTGGCATCAAGCATTCTGCATGTAGGTTTTCTTTTAGCAAAAAATGACGAATCACAATTATCTTTACCGGGAATTTGGTGGAAACAAACTAGACACAATCATTCCTTGTGAATGGAGGACCTGCGAAGCTTTGCACAAACTTATTGCCTACTGACCAAATTGGCTTACCCACGAAGAGAAATCTATTCCAAGCCTATCAACGTAAATAGGCTAGTAAAAGAGAGTGATTCGACTTGCGTCCCAGCCCAACAGCAGATAATTATCTTCCACCAAACACCAAAACTGCTAAAGAGGCATAAACCACAACCAAGGATACAGAAAAACGCGCATGTGTGCGAGTGTACAACCAATGAAAGGAAATGATCAACTGTTTCATTCTCTTTGAGGTCCAACCATTGTCGTGTTAATGGTTCATTAACCTGCACCATTACCCAAGAACCTAAACTTGAAAGCTTCCGCATTTTTACAAACCTGAACCTGACAACGTATTCTTATACGTCCATGCAATCTTAGGCTTATAGAATCTTGCCAATGTTTACAAAATATACTATGGTTTATAGTATATCTGCCTATACTTAGAGCATAAAAAGAAGAAGCTAGATCATCTAATCTTCAAAACTAAGGTTTCAATTTCTAAAGACAGTTCAGTCACAGTAATGAGAACAAATTTCTTGAGAAATAAACAACATGATAAAATTTATATTCGGTAAATCATACTTTTATTTACTGTACTACTAGTAAGCCATCTTACTTATTATGATGATGACATTCATATATTTTTTATAAGACTTTGTCAAATCTACATATAAATCAAGCATTTACTGGAAGATATTCCAACAAAGATATCGTATGGAGTACATGGACGATTAGCATAACAGCATGAGGGCTCATGTTTAAGCAAATCAAGGGCACTGAGAACATGATCATTGACACATGTCATCGAGAATAAAAAAAAAACAACTAGCTTTTGGAAGAAACTGGCATACACTTTCAATGACAAGAAACTCTTACAATCTTATCACCAAATCTTGTTCTCTGCTTGATCTTCTTCCCTAATTTCTTTAAGGTATTGACAAGTTGTGGTTCCTCAACCTAGCAATAACGTTCAATGTAAAATGACATAAAGCTTCATGATCTAAATCGAAGATCAGAACACAACAACATACAAGGAAACCTTCATTCAAAATCATCAATAAATCAGATACACGAACATGGAAACCTACTCAATCAAATGACAGTAAGATAATATATCTTGGGAGTTAGACATCTCTCATTTGGATCAATGCAGGCTAACTTGTTTCTCCACTCAACGATGAAAGTTTAAAGAAAAATTGACAAGATATAAAATTACTAGCACAGCCCTTAATTTATACTACAAAGTGGTACTTATCAATGATAAAATAGTAATTTTACTAGTTTTCCTCACTTGGAAACAATGGTAAAATGTGTGAGGCAAATTCTTCTCCCTCTGTTCCCCTCATTGTTGTTATAAACAAGAGAAAATGCATTGATTTTATATTTTCCTCTCCCTCATTTTCCTTCCTCCCCTCTTCTACTTCTCCCAAACATATAGCTTCCCTCAATCAAATGTAGTATGCTCTGAAAATCACTAGCGCTCCTTGAAAGTCCGCCTGTTGCATCCCACGTTTTTCTTTCTTTCTTTCTTTCTTTTTTTCTTTGTCTCACTAGAAAAAAAATGGGAAATGAAATCACTTCAAACCCCTCTTGTGAATTCAAATATGATTTTCCATGTACTGTGCACACAAATTATAAATTTGTAAAATAAGCATAAAAGGTAATCCCATGTCTACCTAATCTCACAATTGCCAAACTCTACACAATAATTAACATTTAAAAAAAAAATTGTCATAGTTACAAGTTCTAATATAGTTATGAGAGGTACAAAACAAAATGGCAGTCACCTTTAGATAAATGCTTGATTACGAACAGCTGGTGGGAATGAAATTATACTGCTGGTGAAGATGCTTTTCCCTCCTGTAATTCTCATTTAGGCAATCCTTCTACGGTGTTTACATCAGAAAACTCATCAAATGATCTCAACTTTTCAAGTATTAGTCTCTCTTGCTTGGCATCTAGGTAGTAGGTGAAGTCAAGATTCATCACCGTTCATATAATAAGAGTTAAGATAACTATGGATCGACATGAATATGCATTATGAGCTGTAAAATACACAAAAAGTAATCTTTATTTCATTTATGCTCACTACCTTTGCTGTTAAGAGAAAATAAAAGAAAGAAAGAAAGAAAAACTTTACTACTTTAAATATACCCTGTGATGCATACAAGCTAATCACAGGATTTGCATGCATGCATATGTATGGTTACGCATGTCCAGATTGCTAACAAGGATACACTCCAGGTCAGGATTTTCTGTGAAATTTGAGTGCAGGGAATTCCCAACACTGTCAACAATGGCCGATGTAGTCATAGATGATTCAATACATAAAATTGCCATAAGGGCATCTAACCGAGTAACCTCATTTCTGAACATAAGTCTTGCATGTGCTGCGACATTGAGAAGTCAAATTCTGATGATTTCAAGGACAGATACTCAGCATAATCATTGAAATACCTTGAGCAAGGCGTATCAAACTTTCCAGCATGCGCACAGTAGTCCTTGCTACAGATTATAAATGGTACAATACAATAAAAGGGCAAAAAAAGAGCAATAACAACAGCAGGCTAACAAAAGAAATTTTACTGAGTAACCTGCATTATGAGTTGCAGATCTTCGTTGAAGTTGATAATAACTTGAGATAACTTTTTCAGCTTCCTTTGTAAGGACAGGCCTGAAGTACCCCTTTACAAAATGAATATACCTGCAATATTTTCTAAAGAAGCTGAGCACTTGCCTATCTCAAACAGAAACAGGTAATGAAGCATTATGTGGTTAAGGCTTAATTGTAACACAAATGTGTGTTTAACCGATTGACGTAGAAAGGAAAGGTAAAAGATAGCTAAAGGTAACTAATGCAGCCAATGGCTGGTTGTTTAGGCCGAAAAGCCAGGAAAAGAGAGATTTATCAAAGTTATATCTTATTACAGCAGTAGCAGCCCTTAAATAATAGTTGAAACCCTAGATCCTTCTAGGAAAATGATTCCTAGTCTTAGTCCACAAGTAAAACTACTTACCTGCAAATGAAATATTTAAAAATAACACACTAATCACATGACCCTAGATTAATTAACCCTAATATCATAAATATTCTAAAGAAAGTTCCTGCATCACCAATGTAGAATTCAAAACTGATTTTAGTGGAGGTGAAAACAGGGTCACAAACAATAGATAAAAAATGACAAATGTAGTGGATTTGCGCTGGAGTAATTCACTTTTGCTCTTCAAAGACAGTTATGTCAGAACCCTCTCTTTAAGGGTGCTTGGCAAGGCCAAAATGTTACCAGAGTAATATTTCATCTCTAGTTCACAAATTTAGAATAAAAAAATAATAATAAGAGGAAAATTATGGATGACAACATTTCACTCCAAAAATGTGGGGTGCAATGTTACCCTCCAGCATGGGAGTTAAATGATTCCCTAGAAAAATTGTCGCTTGACATGCGAGTCCTCATCACATATTCTTTACTCCTCTGGATAAATTATGACTTGTTGACATGTGGATCCAACCAAATATTCGTCATACCTTCGCACTTGACCAAAGACCATTAACATCTATTCCTTTACGAGCTTGTACATTATTAACACTTATACATTAACATTCACTCAGGTAACATTTCACTTCTATTTTTTAAGACAACCTAAGTGTCAAAATTCAAGTTGTTTTCCCACCCCAAATCATGTATTGCAAGCATGGAGAAGCTCACCCTTATAAAAGAGGGTGCATGTGTGCAGCTGCAACCCCATTGCATAATTTAAGTCCCATACTGAATAAATGATTCCATCTCCTTTTAGGTAGAAGCAACTCAAATTTAAGATTAGACATACTGTGGGTTGAGGAAATAATGCATGGTATGTGCTGGGCTCGCAAATTAGAAGCCCCAACAGAAGTACTTTGAATATTTTAAGAGTTGTGTTGAAAAGGCTTGTAAAAGATCATCAAAACACAGCTAGTTTTTTGCTTTTTGATGCCAAGTTCAATGGGAAAATGGTTACATTGTAAACTAGCCCAGTTCAGTGGTTAGTTCCCCAATTTATTGGTTAACCCGGCCAGGCAAAGTCAATTATGACCATTATGATCTACTCTATCTCCATTTACTACTGAACCAAAAGAGTAATTTTACCTGCGAAGCATAGCAAATGTCCAGATGTTACCCAAATCTTCATCATGATTGCCTTTGTTTGATTCACCCTACAAATAGGTATCAGGAAACAGTGAGGCATTAAATTAGTCGATTGCTTTATGGCATAACATTGAACCCATATTTGATTCGCACATTACCTCCATGAGAATGTGAGACGATACAACAGTATCCCATTCAGGATTCTTTGTATCCAAAAGAACCAGAACTATGTCAAATCTGCTCAATAACGGTCCCGAAAGTGCCGTATTGACAGAGAGAGCTAGATTCAGTTAAGGACAAAGCAATACGATCATTTGTGTGGGTGTGTGGAGGGATTGGAGAAAGCAAGTAGCATATGCAGTCGGAAAAATATAGATTTAAGAATGTGAAGTACACTTCTATATTTCAAACAATGTCTAACAAAAGAGGAAATGAGGGTGATTGTAGCCTCAAAATCACATGCAGGGGTAAACAAACTCACATGCTCAGTAACTACGATTTGGTTAAATTATTAGTCCTTTTTTTTCCTTCTAGATAAAATTTGGTTTAATTAATTGAACTGATGAAAGTGATACATTGATCAGGGTCATACTGTCCTTTGGGATTTGTTGCACCAAAGACAACTGTCCTAGTACTTAAAGTAGTCACAAGACCAGCCTGTAAAAGAGAAAGAGAGAGAGAGAGAGAGTAAAAAATGGTAATCATGCTTAAGACCAAGCATTCAAAACAATCATGGAGTAAACCAGAACAGCGTATAAAAAATGAGTGTAGGATTTTCAAAGAATCTCAGACAGAAAGCTGAAAATGTATAAAGCATATAGTAGAATAACCATAGGGAGCATGGATATGTTTATGAAAATTTGATGAGTGATACAGCATTTATGACACATGATGTGATGATAGAACATGCGTTTTTTTCATCATTATGGCCTGTATTTCTTCCACCCTCAATGATGTAAAACCAATTGATGCACATTAAAGAAATTACCAACAATTACCAAATCTCTGAAAACTCATTTTATACATCTTCAAGATTCAAAGTCTTCTTTCTAATGTTTAACTAGGGTGTTATTCCTGGACATCAATGCATATATAAATAAGTAAACCAAATTCTATAGGGAAACTAAACAATAGCAAGACCATCTAACCACATTCTTAGTAAAAACCATCTCAAATAAAAATACAAAACTAAAGTTCCTAAACAATCAAATATTAATTCCCAGTGCATTTTCCATTACTCAATGCAGAGTTCTACAGAGCATAGAAGTTAGCATTGCAAGTGCTAATATTATTTTCGCTATGATATGCTGTGTGAAAAGAGAAGTATTATAGCTCTCAAACTTGGAAGTCATATTCGTTTACTTCGTTTCTTTTCTCTCCTTTTTCCTGTCTTGTGTGCGTGTGAGTCATTTCAACTCTGCTTCATGTTTCAACAGCACTGGAGCAAGCATTTGTACCTGAGAGATGCATGAGAAAAAAGGGGCATGCCCATTCCTCCATGGCATCAAGTAGTCGGTGCCTAGGTACAAATGCATGCCTAAAGTCCTAAGAAAGAAAATAAAAGGTGGACATATGCAAGGAAAGCACGAGGACTAACATAGAGAAAGAAAAGTGGCCTGCTCAGAGAATTCACGAATGTGATGGCCATTATAATATAAACCAGCTTATTGGCAATTCAAAAGCTTGATTGCAGAACTCTAGATGCAACAATGGTTTGCTTGTAGATGATCTTTTGGCAATTCTTAGGTAACCCTATAGCTTTGAAGTTTCAGTCACAATTGCTAAGATATTATGCTTATATTAACATTCTAAAGCTACATGTTCACTTTGGTTTATTGCAAGGCTAACAGATTTTGGGCTACACAATGGTTGCAGCCTTCCGCAAATCCTTAAATCCCCCACCCCTCTCCTAGGGCTTGAACATGAGATCTCCAAGTAAAAATCCCAAATCTTAATTGTCAAGCATCCCCTTGGGAAGTAACTCTCTACAGATATTGAATGTACACATCAAATAACAATCTCTTGTTTGATGACTTGCGTAATGGTTTTCTATAAAGATGATGATAATTCAAAAATAAATGAAAATTTGTGACAAAGACAAACGAGAAAACATTCTATTGCATTCTGCAATCATATTTAGACATTTAAGTATATATAAATAAACGGAGGAGCAACCTTGGCAACACTTATGGTCTGTTGCTCCATTGCCTCATGTATTGTTGCCCTGTCATGCTCCCTCATGCTGCCAACAGAAGTTGGTTCAGCTCAATATCAAGCACTGATAAGCAAAATCAGTGGAAAACTGTTCTTTTATTGATAATCAGGTCTGCAACTCAAATCTTTGATAATCTATATTACATACAATTTCACAAGTGCTAATAAAGAGTGTTTCATGCAGAGATCACCTGTCAAATTCGTCGATACAACAAAGTCCTCCATCTGCCAGAACAAGGGCTCCAGCTTCCAACATCCACTCCCCTATTTGTATCAAAGAGATTGGTTAGTCCTTCGAAGTTTCAACATAATGTCTAATTTCTTTTATACAGCATGCTAAAACATCCCATGGATAACAACCAGTCTTCCTCAAATGAAAGATACAAGATTCTATGCAATGGCCAAAACATCAATTCAGCAAGGGTACACAAACAGAAAAAAAATGTAATCTTCTTGAAATGCCAAATTTTGATCTCAAGAATATGGATCTGTAGTAGATGTCAGAAAAACATAAAAAAAGATACAGGCAAAACATGTCTTTCTTTTCATGAGCAGAAATATTTTCAGCAACATTGATTCCTTCAAAAGCTTTAGAAGTTAATAGTAAAATACCAAATCAAGTTCAAGAATTTAAGCCACATGCATAATTTCATATTAACACCTAGAACAGGAAAGTAGTGGAAGCAACTGTTACAACTATGGATAGAGTTCCAACATTATTAGCTCAAGAGAATAGAAATACCTCCATCCTTCACTGCAGTGACAGTTAATCCTGCACTAGTACTCCCCAACCCAGTTGTGATAACAGACCGGTTGCTCAACTTTGCAGCAAATTTTAAGAACTGAGACTTGCCAGTACCTGTGAGATTTATCTCATATTGTCTACACATTATTGTTTATTTTCACATGGAATCATAATAATCTAGTTATTTAATTTATGCATAATGAAAATTATAATCTATTCAAGCCAAACAATCATTGTGGACAAAGTCGAATTTGAAGTTCAAAGTACAGTTAAACAGACAGCGACTTACGCAATAGTCGTGAATCATTATCAATAATTACAACAAACAGCTTAGACAATAAACATTTATATGCAGGAACTTAAAGGTAGATGTCACTTTACTCCATAATTTGTACGATGTACCTAAATAGAACCACAGAGACTATCTAACTCGCATAATAGGAGATATTCACTAAATCTTGTTCAAGCATTTCCCAATTTCCTAGTGTTCATTTAAAGTACGAGTTGATGGGTAAACAAAGCACATGATCCTTGATCTCTTTCCTAGTGTTCTCAGTTGCAAAATGTCTAAAATATGTTGTCAGGGTAGATGATTCCCGAATTCCCAATGCAAAGTATATTTATCATAGATTAGTCTTGAATCTTAAAACTATTAAAATGCATGTCAAATTCATGGCAACTTTCAGAAATACATGGGAACAATGAGAGTATTTGAACTATTGCACAATTTTGATATATATTAGGAAAGAAGTCAGCAATCACCTGTAATGCCTAAACCATAATTGCTTACTGCCAAGTAAATGCATAATTCTTCTTATATGCTATAGATGAACTTAGTTCAACAGTTCCCCAGAAATAAAATTAGTTTTACTCCGCCAAAATCAAACATGTAACTAGCTAAAAACTGAAGAATAAGACAAATTTTCAGCTTTAATTAGAATTCAAGGAATCAATTCTTGATATAAAATAGTAGGCATGTACCACTAAAAGGGGAAATTTCACCTGGATCACCAACCAGAAGCAAATGAGACTCTCCTCGAATCTTTGAACCAGAAGCATCGACATGTTGCACCCCTCCAATAAGTGTTAATGCAACTAAGTTTAAGGAAGGAATGTCAATGTGTCAACCAAGTAAAAACTAATGAAGAATTCTGACACATGAGAAAACAAGCATCTTTACATAATTATATTCGATCAACATAATTATTAGTCTCACAAATGTAAAAGCTGGATTATACAATCAGACTTCCATCTTTTGGAACAATAGAATGACATGATACAAAATGACAGTATACCAGCAAGCTTTACGGTGAAGAGTCCAAAAATCTGTGGGCAGATACCTCGCAGAATGGCATTTCTCCCTGGTATACCAAACTCATTTAGAAACTTGCAATAGAAAAGGTATGCTAAATGACTAAATCTAAGAGTAAAATCATATGCAACAAGACAAAATAAAGAATAACGTGCAAGGAGAGTTCTCTCAGTTCAAGTAATGCTTATAAAGATGGACTACTACTCTACACACATATAGAATATTGCAAATAGTTTTTACCTTCCAAAGGAGTATCTTTGAAGTCTGACCAGAACTGCTTGAATTTCATTATAACATCATTGGGGATGTCAATGTCTGATTTCAGCTCATTAGTTCTCCTGAGAACATAAAGAACAAAATTTATGGAAAAAAGATATGGATTTAGTATTATGACAGGGGTAAATTCTAGAAACACTTCCACATGTGCTCGACATGGGCTACACCGCTGTAGATTTGACTTTCAGGGTTAAGAATTCAAAAGGCAAAGTTCGGTCATGAGATAAATTAAAAAAACAGCTGGAGATGAGAATATTGTGGAGAGGATTAAGAGATTGAAAGGAGGAAAGAACAATAACTGCACCCCCAGGAAAGCAAAAGGAAATGAACGTTAGGCAAGCATGCACTAGAGGGCAAATCTTCAGGGGTGTCACTGTGGAAAGACGCTATCTACAAGGTGAGGCAGCAAATGCATTAATGAAGAGTGCCTTAATGCTGAATAGTTTTGGGCTGCCAAAGACTTGACAAAGGTAGAGCCCCATCATAAGTTAATAACAGAATCAGATAGAACCCATTAGAAAGGTCTCATTACCTTACATAATTAGCAATTAATACAGGATCAAGATTGCACCGAACATCTTTTAAATCAGCAGACCACTTTGCAGTCAAAATCCCAGAAACAATGATATCATCTGCACCAGAAACATATTCATAATGCCCCAATTCATCACACCCCATCCACACAGAAAAGAGAGATTCCTTTAGTATTCCAAAACAAGGTAATAAAACAGGTTTAACGTGAAAGGATAAAAAGCAAATATTGAAACAAGAATGCCAAGGTAAATTTCATTATGTCATTCTTCAATGCCATAATGAACCTATGTAGTTTTGCTATAGTTTTTTATTGTCAAAAATGAATTTAAGAGATCATATTAGTTGGATAAATTGAAAGATAAAAAAAAATCATATGGGTAGCTTATGCATAATCATAAAGTTATTTTTCGTAAAGGTATTTATTATGGATCAAAATCATAAATTTTTTTTGAAAATCAGATTAAAATAGAGAAAGATATTATTAATGCTTTTGTTTTTCAATAAATTCTGGTTAAATACGGAATGGGATTTAACTTCTCCAGATTAACATGGAATAGACAATAAATGCTTTGAATCACGACAACACTTGGATTTAGAAGCTCAATGTTCCAAGCAACCAAGACTTACTTAATGAAAATAGTTATTTTGTTATACAAACACACTTCACCAAAAAAAATATATGAATAATCTGAATGAATAAATCCAATCAGAATCGAGAGTAGCATCTAGAGCAATAGGTTTATGAATTCTTTTTTACAGTCAATAAAACTAGAACAGGTCCCAGCTTGAATTCATGTTTTTTTTTTTTTTTTTTTTGGATGATGGTACAAGTTCATATTGGCGGTTCCAGAAAGCAAATCCGAAGAACATGGAATACAAAGCTTCCCCAAAAGTGGTACCTCCAGCTTTTACAATGTCAACAAGATCATCCTTGAGAATGACTGGGATTGACCGAGGAATGACCCCAACACCCAACACCTGTGTGCTCTCTTGGATTTTGATTTCCTGGTAATCATGGCGTATTACAGTTTCATCAACACAGTCAAATCTTGTGCCTTCGCAGGATTTAGACCTCTGTCATTGGATACCCCAAATTAGTGATCAAACACAAAAATCATGACACTGAAAGAGACTATATCTACAACAAACCAACTAATGTGTTGTTGCAAATCATGTACCAAAAAAATGTGAATCAATTCTAAAATTCTCCCTAAAAAAGTGCAACAGAAAGAGTAAGTTTGTCCTACAATCCAGAATTTTTGTGATACTAATGCAACGTACTTGAAGATTAAACATCAGTCAAAAAAATTAAATTGCAGATGCTAATGGTAGTAGGATGACTTTGCAAGCATAGAGCTTCAATTATTTTGCTCAATGATATGCTGTAAACAGGGTGTTGCAATCCGTTAGTCTGCAAACCTAGCAAAAGTGCACCACGGAAAAGAATTAATAAGAGACAATCAAGGATAGAGAAAACAAACCTGAGAGGGGCAAAACGATGGTAGTGTTATGGAGTTTCTACTTTCAAGCTCAGGGTAAACTGGGAACCTGCATATGAAGAATGTTGATTCAAACACTGGCATGCAAAATTGCCCCTAAATGAAATCAAATTATTTGAAAAATGAAATTTGATATGGCACCTAAATGGTGTGAATGTCCTTGGATCCACTAGTGAAATGTTTGTTTAAAAATAATAATAAGGAAAGATTGTTATTGAGATATACAATTATAATAAGAGTTATCTCAGTCATGTTTCTCAAGAAAAAAACCACATAAATGTGATTTGCAATAAGCATGTTGAGCCATCTAACAGTCATCCAACTCCAGGACCTTAACCCATGTTAAGCCTGGATTTATCTAGCCTCTGCTCTGAGTTTTCTTTAAAAGGCTTTTCTCATCCAAATCATCCAACAGTGGTATTCCTAATAACAATAAGCTAACTATAGCAATTCACACTCCAATCTACACAATTCCAGCATTTGTCAATGTTGGTTAGTCAGATGAGTAAGAAGCTTAGATACATTTCTGGATTCTGATCCATTTACATAAGCGAGTCATTCACAGTCTTGTAGGAAACTTCCCTTCAAAACCCCAAGAATAAACTAAATCAACAAGACAAGCTTACTCTTTTCACTTCAAATCCTACGCATAACCATGGGACTATGCCAAGAAATTAAGCTAATGGAACCTTACGCAAAAACATAAGGGAGCAAGCAAAAATAAACTTACACATGCTTGCATTTCCGACACTGATACATCCTTTCCCCTTCATACATCTTAATCGCTCCAGACCTGATTACAGTCCCTTTGACTGTAAGAAGAATTCCACGGTGCTTCACTCTGACACGCCCAATGCTCGGAAATGTCTCTATGAAAACCCATAACCAAAACAAAACGAATCAACCAATGATCCCAACCAAAAACAGAACGGAAAAAAAAACTAAAAACAAAAAACAAAAATGAGAAATAAGAAGAAGCCAAACCACTACCAGGGCATTCATGAGCAGATCCACATACATTAATCCGAACATGAATAAATTTCTTCTCGACCCCTTTCTCCCCGAATTTCAATCCCTTGAGCACAATTTTCTACAGCCCAGATTAAAATTTTCCTCAATTTTTTAAAAAGTAACTAGCAAAACATGAACTTCTTGATATAGGTAGAAAAAGATTATACATGAGCCCAGAAGGCAGCACGGTCAAAAAGCAGCAAGTACTCAGTTGGCTGAGCCAATAAAAGATGGGCAAGTCGAGAATTCTCGTTCAGCAAATCTGTAAAACTACAACAGAGAAAACAAAATACATGGGCCAATTATTTGTTGAAAAAAATAAATGGATTTGAAAATAAAAGGATGGCATACTCGATGTAGAGAGGATAATGGAGCTTAGGATCAGGAGAGAGAACAATGGAATGGAGCTGTTGAGAGTAAGATTGATGACTCATCAGAAACTCTGCAAAAGACTTCTCTTCGCTATCTGCGTCCTCCATTCTTTCTGATTCATTGATTGATGTCATGGTTAAGATGATGATAATTCTTTTGATTGGAGCTGGATGATTCCGGATTTTAATATGCCATGAGAAAAAGTAAGGGTTTTGTTTTTGCCTTGCTCAATTTTCCCGCTCAGTTTTTTCACCTTGTGGATGAATTTGGGGTTTAAGTTTTTCGTATCTATTATTTTGGGACGACAGATATTTTTTAATTTTTCAAATTTTTTTATGTTAAATTGAATGGCCCGCCGGTCCAACCATCATTGACCTTATCGTTGGACTAAAGACGAATGCTTTCCCTGGTGTGTGGCAACTATGGTTTTAACTAAGGCTATTAAAGAATGAGATTCTAATTTAGATTTGATTTATTTAATAAAATAGATTGAATCGAATTTTATGAATTTGGATCAGATTTTAAAAATATAAATCTAAATCCTGATAAATTCAGATCGGATTCGAAACTTTATCGAATTTATCACTTAATTTTTATAAAAAAATTATTCTTATTTCATTTAAAGTATTATTTAAATATAAAATATATTTCAAGCACCGTATGTATAATAAAATATATTAAGATAATATTATATTTATTAATTTTATAAAAAAAAAAGTAAAATGTCACCCAATTCAAATGAACAAAATCAAATAAAAATTTTGTCTTTAACCGAGTAGGAAGTATTGTAAAATTAAAAAAATTAAAAAAAATAATCTTTATTTCTTATCGATGCAGTAGTAAAATAAATATTCATTAATTCAAATTCCAAAATGATAGTGCTACAAATTAAGGCCTAAAAATAAAGAAAAAAAATCTATTAATATTATCATATATTTTTAATAACTCGGTTAATGTATAAAGAGAATAAATCTAAAGAGTTTAAGTAAATGAAATATTATAGGTTTTTTTTCGATTTAAAAGTCAATTACTTGTAGTAGTTATTGCCTCAATAATCTTTAAAAGTAAAGAAGCACGATAATTATTAATAACTCTACCTAATGCAACTTCGAAAGCAACAATAATTGCTAGAAAGCTAAAACATCTAGAACATCATGAACAATTTTTGTAAGGATATAAAATATATCACAATTGGTTTTTCACCATTCCAAAATATTAAACTTGTTTGCAGTATATGGTTCCTTTTTATATTAGGATTCTAGATTCGACTTAATCCTAATGTAATTTGTCCAAGCTATAACTTATAGTTCAATTTTTTTCAAGATGCGAGTCAAATTAGGCCAAGCTTATAACTTATAAATTATAGCCTTATATCTTAACTTTTATTTGCCGTAAAAACACATGAATGGGAGCTTTGTACAAAAAGTTATGCCCTAAGTACTTGACTGTGTTCGAGTCCATAAATTTATTTTTTAAGAATTTATTTTGGAAAAGAACTCCAATTGCTCAAAATTTTTCCAAAATGCATTAATTTTCTTTTTTTAAACAGCCCTTCTTTTTTATTCTCTTCAATTTGTCATGATTCTAACCAATTGGTTCTTTCTTCTAGTCTTTTTTTCTCTCTTTTTCTTACTTTTCTTTTTTTTTTATATAGATAAAATAGGCTAATGAAAAATATAATAATACTAACTCTTAAAAAGATATATGAGTCAATTTATAATTCTTTCACAAAATTGAATTAAGAAAATGATAAGAAATTTATATGTGATTTTTTAAAAATACAATTGTCATTGTGGAGGGGTATGTGTTATTTGACTTTTATAATAAATAAACTCTAAATTTCAATGTAGTCTCTTATTTACATATATTTTTTAATATTTTTAAAATATTATATCTATCATAAAATATTATTTTTAATTTTAGGTTGGATTATTATCGTATCGGATCAAGATAGATCCAGATTTGATCTATTTAATAAAGGAGTTGATGATTCGAATCATAATCGGACTCGGATAAAAAACAAACATTTACTACATCCATTTAATTATATCGGATTCGGATCGAATTTGATATATTTACAACCCTAGTTTTAACTCTCAAATCTCCTCCTTGGTTTTCTTTTATGGAAACATGTAATTCTTCCTCTTTTTATTAAGTTTATGTAATTTGTCTCACTAGAGATTCTATAATAGAGTAGACTTAACTACCAATTGCATGTAATTCAAACAATAAGGAACCAAAGAGTAGTCAAGGGTAGTCGAACTCTTCTTATACATTGTGTTTCGATTACTTCATTTGTGTCACATGGTTTCTTCATTGTGACATACGGCCAATAGTCGTTTTCCTTTGTAAGTCGCACGACCGTGTGACTCCTTAGCATCCTTGGTGACTTTTTTCTCCTTGCTTTGGTTTTGGATTTCTTTGCTCTAATTCATAATTTTTCCTACAAAACCCAAAATCGTTATGTTGATTTTAATTAACTAAATATAATACAATAAACACTAAAAAGTTCTATGTAAAATAACATAAAAATCATGCTAATTATGCACTCATCAATGCAATAGTTAGTATGGATAATAGTGATGAGAATAATGAGAAGCATGAGAGAAGAAGAATATCCAAATAGGTGTTTTTTATCCTAACACACATGATCCACTTTTTCAAGTTGCAATAATATTTGTCGACAGAAATCTAGTTTATCGATGTACTAACTAAGCATGCTTTGAAGCATAAGAGGAATGTAAAGCTTAAGGAAAATAATAGGAAAAGGGTTAGAGTAGTGTGCAAAAATGAGGAATATGGTTGGAAAATTGTGTACTCTCCATATGGTAAATCTAAAAACTAGATGGTGAAGATATGTATGGCAAAACATAATTACGATACTATTTACAAAAATAGTTGATTGAGTTATAAGGTTTTGAGTAAGTATTTAATTCATAAATATGGTAGAGTTTGATTGATAACGATATTGAAGGAAATTATTGAAACAACTAAGAAGGATTATGGTTCGAGGATCTCATATACACTTGCTCAACACACTAAAAATTAGTGCAAACTAGCGATCGAAGGTAATGTGAAGTTTGAATTTGATAGATTTAAAGATTATGATGCAAAATTAAGGGCCAATGATAAGGGTAGCAATGTGTATCTTTCAATGTAAGGAAGATTCTAGAAAGTTTCAAAGGATTTATTTTTGATTTAAAGCATTGAAAGATGTTTTTTTTTTTTTTTTTTTTTTTTGTTTTTTTGTAGGAGGACTAGAAGTTTAGATGGATATTTCCTCAAAAGATATCTTAAGGGGGAACTTCTAGCGGCTATGGAGAGGGATGTAAACAACCGGATGTTTTTTTTATTGGGCGCTTGTAATAAAGAAAAAAAAAACCGTAGAAGTGGTTCTTGCTTCAAGTTAGATGATCTAAAAAATCCATTGAGTTTTGGACATGGGCGGGCCTTCATCTCGAGTTCTCATAAGGTGACACATTACTTTAAAATTTTAATACATATAATTGTTAAATCAATTTGACTTTTTAGTTTTATTTTTTTTAATTTGTCATAATTGTTAATTAAATTTGACTAAGCTTTTTTGTTGTTAAATATATGAATATAGGGCCAATTGGGTGTTGTAGCCGAGTTGCTTCCTAATATAGAACATGGAAGATATGTTAAAGGCATCTTTGCTAATTGGAGGTGTCGTTACTCGATGTCGGACGGAACTCTTGAAAAATTTTAAAAAATATAGGTTTTCGGAGATTATCGCATCTATTAATTAGTTTGGAGTCATCACTTAATATTAAAGGAATTAGGAACTTAAAATAAACATTAGTGCGAGAGATTCTCAAATACGAAATTGGTTACGCTTTGGAAAAATATCAATCATCCAAATAAACCTTTTACTAAGAAAGCTACCACGTCTAATTTAGCCTTAAATTCATTTCCTAAAATAATTTATTTTTCACGCCAAGTTATTTTCAAATTGAACTCCAATTTCTAAATTAAATTAAGTTTTATTTATTTTAAGGCGTGGCATCGTATTGAAACAATCATCGACCCTCTTCATTAGGTGACACGTTAGTTCAAACATCGGATCCATCGTTAGCCTTGATACAAAAATGTGTAATAGAACACCTTAATGATTATTTTTAATTTTTATATCAAAAGACAGTCTCTATCAAACAAGAGACCTCGTTGAGAATTTTTATTATTTTTATTTTTTGGTTAAACGACAATCGTTATCGAATAGGAGACTTCATTGAGAATTTTTATTTATTTTTTATTTTTTGATCGGATGATGGTCCTATCGGATAGGAGACTTCATTGAGAATTTTTATTATTTGTTGATAAAAAAATTATCATCAATCCCTAAAAATTAGGTGACTCGACAATCATTTTATCAAATAATTATCTAACTAATTACAAAATTAAAATCCTAAAATAAAAACTACTTAAGAGTTACTAAAATAAATTCAATGCAAAATAGAATATTAAATACAATACAAAAAATAAACATGCAAAAATATATTCAAAATAAGTTGAGCTTAAAAGTAAATAAAAAAAAAACTTAAAATTAGATCATTTCTTTAGATGGGTCATGGAATGGGCTAAACCAAAGCCCAATCCATATTTTTTAGACTAACTTTCACTCTGACGTTTTATTTTATTTAATTTTATCTTTTTTATTTTATTTGCTGGACTCCAGCCCTTCTTTCTAAAACGTTTTTTCGAAAAATAACAAAGACACAACAAAGTTTTATACCTTCCTTTTTCTTCACTTTCTTGCCTGCTAATTCTTTCTTTCTGTTTTTTCTTTTTTTTTTTTTAGATGATGGAGGAGGAGCAGTGCTACTGGTAAGCATGAGGAACTGGGGATCTGCTGCTTGGGGTTGCTTAAGGACTCTGTATAGAATGGAATTTAGGGGGAAGATAAAGGCTGTTTTGTGGGTTTTTAGTGAGGGAGAGGAGTAGGTGGGACAGTTTTTTTTTTCCTCCTTTTGCAATGTTAAGAAACTCAATTTATGTTATTTGAAATTTAATTGAGTATATTTTTATTTTATTAGAATTATTTTGAATTAATTAGATTTGAAGTAGAGCTTTAAGATCACGAGAGAGAATTTATAAGCTGAATTGTTGAATAAAATAGTGTTGTGGTTTTGTATCAACTATCAAGGAATGGAGGATTGACGAGTTTGGATTCATGAAACAACAGGAGTTTATACAGTTGAATCTTGTTGTTCCGTCCTTAATTCAATACAGCTTGGCAATAACACTATTATAGCTTCCCATGTGTGGAAATCATTAGCTCCCCCAAAGGTCGAAGCTTTCTTGTGGCTGGCAGTTCATGAAAAATTACACACTGGAGACTTCCTCTATTGCATTGGCCTTGTGGATGCAAATGACAGCTTATGCCCGTTTAGTGAATCGAAGGTAAAAACTGAATCTCATGTACTTCTTCATTGCAGTCAGACTTGGTATTTGTGGTGTAAAGTTATGTGCTGGTGGGGTTGTTTATGGGCAATACCTAGTAATGTAGATGATCTTTCCAAACAATGAGATTTCTTCTCTTTTGGAAAATCACATAAAAAAAATATGGTACGTAGTTTTATTCTTTTTGTTTTGGATCATATGGCTAGTAAGGAATAATCTACTTTTTAACAATGTGAATCTAGATTGGGAGTATTTGTTCTCACTTCTCTTCCACAAAGTGTCTTATTAGGCAAAGGCTATTGAAGATAATTTCCTATATACAGGGAATGATCTTCTTCGTAGCTCAGATTGTATCCATAATTGGTCCAACAAAATTTGGAATCGTCGAGTAGCTGAAGAATGGATTAAGCCAGGTGTTGGAGTTATGAAATGGAATGTAGAAGGCTCGTCAATAGGGAAATCGAGTGCTTCAGGTATTGGAGGTGTTCTTAGAGATCATGAGGGAGTTTCTTATGTATTTTTCAGGACCAACCGGTATAAGAGATTTCAACAAAACAGAAGTTCTTGCAATCCGAAGGGCTCTAGAGTTGAGTGTTTCTCATCCTCTGGCACAATAAGTTCATTAGATTGTTGAATCGAATTCGTCAAATGCTATTAGTTGGATTCACTAGAGTTCATATCATAGATCTTGGAAGTTAGATTGTGATTTCAACAGCGTTACTTCTTTTGTTAACATGTTAAGATATGTTTCTTTTGTTAGAGTGAATAGAGCAAGGAATGCTGTAGCTGATAGCCTAGCTAAGAATAGTATTAGCAAACAAGAGGAATTTCTTGCCTGCTTCTAATCTTTGAAACTTTGTTTGTATCTTTTTTGCCACTTTCTTGATGGCTTTTAATCTAATCTTATCGATTCTCATTAAAAAGAATCAGAAAGAAAGGATTAAGGAAAAATAGAAGCAAATACCATTTATTAACTCTTTCCATTTTGCTGTATTTTAGTTATGAGAATTCCTTTTGACATTCAATATGATCATGAAATTTTAATAAGATATAGAGAAAATATAAAGAGAGATTATTGCAATCACTCCACATGATCCAACATCAACTCTCAACAGACTCTGTTTCCTTATTCAAACACACATAAATGACTTACACACAAGAAGACCACTCTTTTCTTCGGTAGGAAACCTAAAAAGAGCTGGTTTCCTCAATTATTTATGGCAAACTATTACCAACATAGCACTACTCACAAAGAAACCTGACTTGCACTAGTGCCAGTCCGATCTATACTGACTTGGCTTGCAAAAAGTTAACAGGCCTCCATTTATTATAAATATGTAAACAGTAGCAAGCGGGACACCGTATCTCGGAGATCAGCAACGTTCTCCTTGATAATATTACCAAGCAGACACAGGTGGTCATTGGCGAGCTTTCCTTATATCTATCAATCGCCTTGCAAGACTGTCACAACATCAACGCAAGGTTGCAATAATTAATACCAACAAGAAGCTTGCTTCGGTGCCAATTGAACAACTAAGAAAAAAATACAATTAGACAATTTCGTAAATCTAGTTCTTACGCCTCAAGTTTGGCATCGTTTTTTGTCGCTAAATCCTCACCGATCTTCTTGAGATTCTCCAGATTGTTTTGGCTTGGATCGTCCATTATGGCATCTTTGAGTGTGAGGCTAGCCTGATTGTTGTATATATGGAATGGCAGCGCATCATTAGCAATGAAATGCAATTGCTATTTTTTTTAAATTATGTCGTGCATCAGAGTAAGGGATGGAAAAGCCTTCCGTAATTCACTACCGCCAAGGAAAAAAAAAATGTAGCCGAACTTCCAGCATTTTCAAAATTGAAGCGCAAGTCTTTGATACCTGGAGCCGAGTATAGTTGTGTTCTAATCCACTGTATTGAAAGATGTTGGACACATACATTTCAGTCGATTCATCCGCTGCAGTCATCAAGATATCCAGCAACGGGTGCGAATTGTCGTCATGCCAAAGCCAATCACCAATTCCCCATTCGCCATCTCCAACCTCCAGCCTGTCTCTTTCATTTGGTGCTCCAGTTCCAAGTGAAACAACGACAAGCTTGTGAAAATCCGTCTTTTTTCTTTCATCACCTCACACGCAGCTAGCAAAGACTGATCATAAGATTATCACAAGATAGACAAGGCATTAATCGATCGAAAGCATATATATTAATTGTGACTGACTTGAATGTCATCAAGTGATTAATTATATATGTATATATTTGTTGTATCTTAATGAATAGTAACTTACAGGATTATTGGCTGCAACACCGCCATCAACTAGGTTGAATTCCTGGCTGGTTTTAAAAGAATATGGGGGAAAGTAATACGGTGCTGCAGACGTGCCAATACAAACGTCTGAAAGCTGAGCATCCATTGACTTGTCACGCTTTGCCTACAATTAATTTGTTCATCTATAACTTGTAAAAGAAGATCAAGTTGAGAAGACAACAGTCAAGTAATTTCAATATATGTTGGAATAATCAAGGAAAATAATTAGTGACCTTTAAGGTGGAGAAGACGGTTGGCCCAAAATGCTTGATATCGAAGGTGGGGATAATCACGTTGGTTAGAGTCTCACTGACAGATACTTTTGCTAAATATTCCTTAATTGTATGATGCAGACCTTTACCGTCATGCTTTGGTTCCAGCAAGCATTTGTTAAGAGATTCTAGACAATCCTTCAACCCAAAAATATTAAAATCAAGTTTTCTGACCAATGAAATTAGCATCCTCAGTAGAGCAGCTGGAGAATTAATGACTGCGGCGTACCTGTTTAAAAGACAGATCCTTTTAGTGATATTTATGCAAATGGTTTAAATCAAGCAAGTTTTACTTACACTTGGTGAGAAAATTGCTGGATCTCCATCCTTGCTTCATCAGGAATAGAGATTTTGAAATCCTTTTCAGCAAGCAGAAGTTGGCTTTTGTTATCTACTTTGAGAAGGGATTGTCCTTCTGCGTTCGAAAAGATTTTTGGACTGTTGTCTTTATAAAACTGATAAATATCTTTTGCTGCAAACAAAGGTCGTTTCTTATCATTCGGAGCAGTAAGCATAGCTGTCATAAGGCCTCCTGTGCTTGTCCCAGCAATGAAATCAAAATAATCTGCAATCCTCGCATCCTTGTTGTCCAGATCCAACCTCTATATATAGACAACAAAAATTGAAATTAGGATGTTATAATTACAAACAGCATTCTGATTATTTTAAACGACGCCAACTATAAAGATTTTGTGCATGTGTGTACGTGTGTTTGTATAGGATTGAAGAAAAATATTTATGAACAGGAACATATAATGAGAGAATAAACCTGAAGCTTTGATTCAAGAGCCCTTAGGATTTCACCAGGAATGATGCCTCTCACTCCTCCACCATCAATGCTCAGGACTGTGATGAGGTCTTTCTGATCCTCTGATGCACTTGAACTTCCGTTCCCTAAAAATTTAACCAGGATCATAACAAGAACGATAAATATTATAAGCAAGCAGTAATAGTGTCATGTAAGTCAATTCATAAGGTTGAGCAACAAAATAAGTTACAGGATTAACCAATGAAAATGCTTGCTTGGGCATGGTGCCAATAAGGACTCACCCATACTGCTGTGAAAGCCCAAATATCAGAACCTTTAGGTTAATGACTCTGTCTTTGCACCACTACCACTTGAGGAACAAGGATCGGCTCTCGTCTCCTTTTTATAGCACAATTTAGGGAGATGGTTCTTTATCTTTTGTCGCATCCGAGTCGTACTTTGCTTTATTTATTTATTCTTTTTTTTCTTTCCTGGATAAATTGGTCTTCTTCTTTGTTTTGCTCCTATTAAACAGATCCATAAAATTATATTCAAACTCATTAAAATTAATAAAAAAAAATTTTTGATCGTTTAATTTTTTTTTATACCTATCATTTTTTTATAAATAAATTTATAAAATAATTACTGTATATATCATAAATATTATATTTTTTTCTTATGCGTTAGTAAATTTAGATCGTTATCGTTTATCTTCTTCTAGCTCTCTCTCTCTCTCTCTCTCTCTCTCTCTTCTCTCTCTCCATAATTGTTTCTTTCTTTCGGCAAAACATTTAATGCTTGCCATTAATGGTCATGCGTTGGAGTATATTTTCTCCACTTGTGTTTTTTTTCCCTTAATAATGACGATGATTTGTAAAAAAAAATATATTTTTCATTTTGACATTGTGAATTTCATACATATTTGACTATTACAAAATTGAGTTTTTTGGTAAATTATTTTTTAATAGTAAGAATATGATTGAGATTATATTCATGAGGTATCGGAAAGTCATCAAATATATTAATATATTGACAGAATAATTTAAAATAATTTCTTTAATTTTATTTTAATACATTTTTAGATTGAGTATTTGAGAAATATTGAGATTCAAAATTCATCCAAATAATTTTGTTCAGGTAAACCGCTTCTAACTTTTTTTTACGATGATATAACTATATTTAAGGGTATAATTAGAAAGTTTTTTTTTTTTTTTTTTTTTGAGTTTTGGCGTCAAATATAGATATACAAGGAGGTCAAAACCATAACTGTTGTAGCAAGAAGGGAAAAGCGAATTTTTAAGGGGAATCTTGGTTTTCTTTATAAAAAAGAAAAAAAGAAAATGACTATTATTTACTTCAAATGTGGAAGGGGATAGTGAAATTTAGAATGGTTTTGGAGGAATTTCAAAAACAGTGGGATTTTTACTATTCCTTTCATTGTATATTATTTTTAAATTATCTTCAAATATTTGATATGCAAATTTTTATGAATATTTTACTTTGATTTCTGATTTTTTTTCACCTTTAATAGAATTTATTTATTTTTTTATTTTTTTTTTTTTGTATACATGTCTATGTTATTTTTTTGAATCAGTATGTCTGTAGCTTAAAATTTGGTTGGTTTGATTTTGGTTTTGTGACTCCAATTAATTTGGTTTGGTTGCTTTGACTAGTCATCTCATGCTCGTATTTATTCAGAGTTGGTGAGAAAGATTTGTGTGATGTGCTAAATTCGTCATTGTATTTGGTTTCTTGAGATTGGTATATGCATAAATGAATTGTGTCTTATAAAATTCACTTATAGCTTTATATTTGGTGAAATATGTGAAATGTAACATATAAAAGAGGTGACACTAATAGTGATAATAAGAGCAAACCCAATGAAATGTTTTAGCACCACATGCCGTTACCACTGATCCTATGTCAAGAGTTTATTAAGATAAAAGGCTAACAAGCCTTCCCATAACACATTTTCCATCTTTTACTATGTTATGGTTCAAAAAGGTCGATAGATGTAGTAGATACTTAGAGAATTATGTCTATATATCATCACTCAACCACAGATGACGACTAGACAGATATTCACCATAACAGCGTTGGACTACCTGGGTCTTTGACTTGATCACCTTGATGACAACCAGGTAAAGCGAAACCAATTGCATGTGGCCACAACTACGTGAATTGAACGTGCTTTCCTGAACTTAATAGCTTTTTTAAATAAAGATCTTTTCAGTGGAGTGTGTCATCAATGATCTTTTCAGTGGAGTGTGTCAGCAATTACAGTTCTACTTTATGGAGAGGAGAGGCAGGTAATTTATGAAAGAAAAGATCTGAATGAGCTATTATTGAAAAACATTTAACATTTTTATAATACCATGTTATTACTAATTATTATAAATTTTTTGAAAGCGAAGCCTGTGCGACCTTCCTAATTATTTTTTTATTTTTTAATTTATATATCTAAAATTTTTAACAAAATTAATATATTAAGATTTAAATCTTTAAGCTTTTACTGTGAGAGATCATTAATATTACACTACAAACACTTTAAATCAACCACCCTAATTATACCTAAAGGTGTTAACAGACAAGTGGACCTTACATAATTAAGAACTGTTTCATGCAACACATGGCATGCAAATGGACCCGACTAATTGGTTGGGATGTTAATCCTATGGACCACAGATACAGTAACTGACATGAGTCCGATGGAAAACATATTTATTGGGATTTTTTTTTAAAAAAAAAACAGATGTTAATTGTCATAATTAGTTTAATATAAATATTATAGAAGAGCATTTAATTACTTTTTTTATTATAGTGAATTATCAAGTAAATTTGGTTTCTTATTTGTTATATTTAATTAGGCTTATCTCAATCATCAATTAATATATTTTTATGCATTTCGTTTTTTTTTTCTTCAATCATTGATATAATATATGTAGATAAAGTGAGATAAAAACCAAGTGGGTCAATTATTTAGAACATGTCCATCAAAAAAGTCATCTTTTGATTATAGCAGTACCAGTTTACTTTATGTGTTCCTCGTGCTGGTTGTTTTCAGTCCTGTCCACCCGTCTGGCCTTTCATGATTTTTTTGGGTTTCTCGCTTCTTTCTTTCCATCTGCTTTTCATAAATTTGCTCGTCCTCGCCAAAATAAAAGGAAGGCATTGGAGCCCATGCTCAAAGCGGAGGAGAAATGGGGAATCTCGTTCAAAAGAGTAAATCAGATTAATTGACACGGACACACAAATGCAAGGCGATTAAAGCTTCCCTACCTTCTTAAAAAAAAGCTTTTCCCTACCAATTTGTTTGCTCGTATTAAAAAAAAAACACCTGTTACAAAATAAATGATTTGATTTTTATTCTAAATGTATAAAAGAATTCATCCGATTGCTTTTCATCCTCAATAGTGGCTACACTAATTATCCAAAAATTGTTCATTCCAATCTTCCAAAGTGTGGTTTGAAAATAACTCATCCTAAACCATTATTGCAGCTTTCATTCAATTATTATAAATGGAGGACAAAAATATTAGAAAAAAGCATTTTATTACTAAATTTTATATTATTGTAAATTATTATGTAAATTTTGTTCTTTTTTTATTAGTGTTATCGCCAGATTTCGAACTCCTTCTTGCTTTTTTTTATAATTTTTTTTAAAATTCAAAAAAACCAAAAATTAAAATTTTTATTTGATTTATCTAATTTTTCAAAATTTTAGCCCTTTTTTGAGTTTTTTGTTCGAGTTTTATGATTTTTGTGAATTTAAATAAAAACATTAAGTATAACAAAAGAGTGAAGAAAAAAAAATCAGTGCATATAAAAAAAATGACTGAAAGAATGAGTTTAAAAAAATGAGGAAAAAAATGAGTGAAAAAAATAAATTAAAGAGAAAATCAAGAAAGAAAGAAAAGAATAAAAACTTTTAGACTATCCTAATCCAAATTAATTAGGCTTAATTCCATTTTTAAAAATAGTCTAACGCAACTTAGGGATTAATCTACCCCTAGCGATATTAAGTTTAATTAATTTTGGAGTATAAATAGGATAAAAATAATAAAAAAGAGACAAAAAATTAGAAAAATAAAAGTATTAAAATAATAAAAAAGCCAAATAGACTTCTCTTTTTGCAATGCTAATCCATAAGCCCATGAGATCTGACCCGTTTAGCTTCCTTTTCTCGGACATCGATCGATTTTTAGCCACATCGAGTCACCAAAACCAGCCAAAAACATCCACACATAATCCTGACCAAAACCTCATCAAAAAATCAACCAGAAAAAACCAAGATCTACAAATATTGATAGAGATATACGATACCCAACTGCACTGATGACATTTTGGTCATTTCCTAGCTACCTCTCAGGTGAATTCTGATAACTTTTAACGCTTTTAAAATTTATTTATAAGTTTTATATGATCGTTGATTAATTGTAAATAAATTAAAGTGTGAATTATAAATTAGAGCGTATCGAACCCTAGGGCCTACGATAAAGTTGGGACGATAGGATTAAAATCTAAATTTATGAATTATTCGGAATGAATATTGATTCTGATTATATAAATGTTAATTTTATTATTGTGTCGAAAATTCACAACCAGTGTGTGATATTATGTGATTTTGAAATCTAATGTGATGTTTTAAATAATTTTGATTTTGTGTGGTTGTCACTGACTCATTTTTAATTAATTGTGACTTTGGAATTTTGTCGAGTTAGAACCATGATCCTTAATTTTATGTGTGTTTAAATTGTTTTTGCTTGAATTATTGTGTTCTTGATAAATCAAAATTTTTGAGTTTTCGTGGATTTAAATATGTGATATTTGGTTATGCATCATTTTAAATTTGAATTTTTCCATTTTTAATAAATTTAACTTGTGAATTAGTGTTGATTTAAACCCATAGCCCTTTAGTTCCACGTGATTTAAAATTATTTTTGCTTAAATTTTCTAAGAAATCGTGAATTTTGAGTTCGGCTGGTCGGTTTAAAATCAGCACTGCTGTTTGCATCCCATTATTACAAATGGGGTCCACTCATGATAGAGGGACCCATGCTTCGCAAGTAAATGAAGATTTTAACGACTACTTTAATCGACCATGTTTATCACGTTGTGGTTGCTAGCTCACTGCAACGGCCAGATCTCGAGCAAATTACAGCAGTCCTATTATCCTTTTGTCACTTTCTTCTTATAGTATCTTTAAGTTATTACAATAATAACTTTAAGCATATCTGACTGGGATTAAAAAAAAAAAAAAACCCTTAAAATGTAAGAAATTAAGAAAACCTGAAAAATAGAACAAC